TGTAAGCGTGCCGATCCGATCGATTTATATATCATAAGTAACCGCATACAATTGCGATCAAACGGCTACACGTTCGTTGTGTATATAGCGCGTGCAAAGCGAATTGTATTATTGTTATCAATTGCCGCGTTGTACTGCATTGCACTGCTTACACACACACACACACGCACGCACGCGCGTCGAATGGAAAATCGAAGGAAATCGAGCGCAATCCGCTTACGTAAACTCGCGTCTCTTTTGTGTGTGTATGCAGACTAGCGGTGCAGTGCACGCACGATGATACAATTTCTATTATGTATACGCGCTGCTCGAGTTTTCAGCTGGCTTCCGCGTACGATGCGCCGCGATATAGCCTATATAGCTAGCTCGTCCACGACGACGACTACGACGACGTTGACGATGGTATTGTACCACGCAGCCAAGTCGCAGCGAGTACAACGTGGAAAATCGTCGTCGCGATTGTTGTCGTGACTATGTGCGCGCCGCCCGAGCTTTATGCATATAATGACGAATGTAATAATAATCGTGCACTCGAGCGCGCGCGACTCGACTCGCGGAATTGCAGCAGCAGCAGCAGCAGCAACAGCCTTTTCACATACAATCGTTTATGCTACAAAGGACAATGTCACGGGCACACACACACACACACACACATACATGTACTCCATGAGGCGTACGCATGCCATTATGATGAACATCGGCAGTAGGTGTATAATGTACATACGCCGCGCAGTGTCTGCCACGTCCATTGTAATGTAGGACTGTGTGGCAGCATCGCACCAAATTATTACATCACTGCCGTCGTCACTACCGACGCTGCTAAATTGCATGATTGTACGTTTGTTAATTCACGTTTTGGGTCGACGAGTTGGCGCCCGCGCGCGCGCGTGTACGTACGTATATAGGTACCTGCAGCACACGACGCCTCGTTGGAATACCGTACGCTGAATTTTGAGTACAGAGCTTGCAAGCTCGCTCATTTATGTTTCAAGAATAAACGGCAGCTCGCTCGCTCGCTCGCGCTCCTATATATCCCTATATATCCTCTACATAATACGTTAGTGTTATAAGCGCGTGTGGAAAAGCCTCGCGTGCGAATCTGCACCACCCACCCAGCCACACACACACGGGGTTGTACCTTTTTGGAGCGCGCGGGTGACTGACATCGTACACAAAAGCTCGTCGTCGCGGCCGCCGACGCCGGGTCGCGCACCACCACTGCGTCGCGTGTGCATGCTTCATGAGATTAGTCTTTTATTAGATGGCTTAATATTGCGCTCGCGCGTTCAAAGATCATATCCTTTTGCAATACGACGCGGTTATAAGCACACTGCACCGAGTAAAAGCTAGCTGACTAACTTTTTATCGCGCCGCGGCGGCAGCGGAGATAAGATGCTTTGCTTGCTTCGCTTTTTTTTGTGCTCGTTGACCCCGTGAGCAGCAGCTCGAGCGTCTGTAAAGTGTCGATTTGGGGGAGAGAAAGATCTCGGCGGCAGATATATAAATCCAGCCGCGCGCAAAGCGTCGGTCGTCACGCTCGTTATATATACCATGTGTAGATCTGCACAGCGGCCTCGACTCGCGACTATTTATATAATTTAATGTGACGCCATTCGCGAAGTCGAGCTTTCGCGCGGTCGAAAATGCGTACATAGTGCTTCGATGATAATACAATAATTTTCGACGATCGGTTTTCAATTTCACGAAATCTCGCGTTTCTCTCCATAGGTGAGACGATCGTATAACAATCGCAATCAGCCGCACTGCACTGGTTAACGCGATACATATAATAAGGCTTGTAACTTATTTATAACGCTTCAAAACTTTACGAAGGCATAGAAGCGCGCGCAAAACGACGGAGCACGAGATTGTTATAACTTGCGCGCTGAGTGCACTTGTGTATTATAAAGTCCCGAACTTCGCCTCGGCCTGACGCGCGCAGTAGTAATTTTAACCGGCTCATTAACGCCGCTACATAATAGTTCGCCCTTTATCCCGAACACGAGTTCTATATACGATGAAATTGTGTACATATAATGTAACGTATATAGAAGATGAGAAGCAAAAAAAAAAAATAATAATAATAACCAGCTCAACGTCGTGCTATATCGTATTTCTGAAACTTGGCTCCGAATTTCATAGCGTACGCACACGATCATACGTACATACATGTGTATATCATACGCTACGTTCGCGAAAAATTTTTCTCGGTTTTCGTGATAACCCACACGGATCGCCCACGATGATGTACGCACGATATGTACGCGGAACAAACGCGCCTGCGCTCGGATAGCTCTTTGATGTATTTTAGGCACAACAGTGTATACGGTATGTACCTCTATAATAGGGACGTCGATTGCCCGAGCGCCGATCGAACAAAAAGTCCGCGCGATCCAGTATATCGATGTATACGTACAATAATAATACAATTTCCGAGTTCTCGTAGCGCGCAGCGCACGCAAATACAAAGGCGTCGCACACGCGCCGCGATGGCTAAAGCATCGATTGTATATTATTATACACGCGAGCGCCAAAGTTCCATTTATATTGGTATACCTATATATCGAGCTCGATAATATGATGTAACCGCGCGCGAGTATAATAATATAAACGGATTAGCTTGGCGCTTTATCCGTTGATTTTAACTTTTTAAATGCCGCGTATTATGAAAATGCGAGTGTATGTAGAACGGCACGCGAGAAAACGATTTGATCGTTTAATTAACGAGCGTGTAATTGCCCTGAGTAGAAATTATGCTCGACATTTTTCGGCTTGTTTTTGGTCGCCGAAGAAGTTTCTTGGACGTAAAAGGGCCATCCGTACTTGACGTGTACAATTAGCCAAAAGGGTGAATCTTTTAAAGATAAAGTGGCTTAATTTTTCTTTACTTATACAATTATTTTTACTTTGCCACTTGCAGTTTTGCATGTTTACAGGTACTCGCCATCTAACGGTGAATAGTTAAAGTAACATTATATCACGGTTGAAGTGGTTGTGAACTGGTCTAAATTTTTTCAAACAGTTCAATTGTCTAATATTTGCCACGTAATGGCTAGAAAAAAAATGTCAAAAACAATCCAATCAATGATAATTATGTATTTCAAAAAATTTCGAATTATCTTTTTTTGTTCTTTAGATTATTATTAATAATAAGCATTTCTACTAAGGTGGTAAGTTCTGAGGATCCGAATTACACAATATCATAAAGAGCGAACAACATATGATTATTGTGTGTTAACTGATTAAAATCTTTTCTATATTTTTACCGAAGATTCGAACTAATTAAAAAGTCCGATGCTCGCGTCCTATTAATTATAATTATAACGCTGTTCATTTTTCTTTTCGCGTCGTTCGTGTGCAGTTTTTAAATAAAACAAGTTCAACTTGTTATGCTCTTTATATAGCGCGCTCTCGCACGTATGCAGCAAACGAAAACGAATCAAATGCAAATCAAGTGCACGAGAGAGCGTTCCAAACGTAATTTACGTGTTTAATTCGAGAGCATAATGTACTTAATTTCCCCGCGTCTGGGTAGAAAAAAAAGCAACAGCAGCAGTAGCAGTAACTGCTTTAAGATTTCTCGCGCGCAAGTCGCGTTCCTACTACGTGTGTGTGAGTATTACGTATTTTGGTGCATTACACGACCACGTGTGCGTGTTTTCCGCTCTCTCGCGCCACTGCTCTATATTCGTCGTCTGTCTATTTTTAAAATGATAATCTATATTTAATACGAGTATATGGAGATTTAGCGTGGATCTTCGGACGCGTATTGCGAGCAGTAGCTACTTTATCTCCGCGTATATAGCGAAGCATGTGTGAAATAAAGTCATGCTTCAAGAAAATTTGCGATAAATGAGAGCGTGGCATACAAAATGATCTGCAGTGTTACGCAATTGCCGCGATGCTCATCGGCGCGTCGTCGCGTCTACTTGGACGATTACGTTATATATGTACATCCGAACTAAGTCAAAGACCAAACATCCAAAAAGAAAAAAGAAAAATTAAATTTGATGCGTAAAAGAAACTCGCCGATGAAAGTCTATGTCCTCGTATACACGACAAAAGCTCGATCTCAGCGAGCTCGCGTAAGCGCGTGTTATATACGCGAGCTGCGCGATATTAGATTCTCTCTGCACAAGGCGATCAAAGCACTGCAGCTAGGCGAAAGAGCGAAATTGGCTAGAAAATTCCTGCGCTTTTTATTTTTCATTTTTCAACCTCCTCCTCCTTCTTTCCCCCCGCGCCTTCGTATATTCCGAAAGTATCTGTCAAACTCGCGAGCGTGCGTCGTGTTCGTGTGTACGAGAAAGAAACGAGATAGAGAGAGTCGGAGAAAGAGCGAGTAAATTGAAACGGCACGCGTGTATATAACGCATATAGCAGGGCAATTTCCACTCGGCTGTTTTTATGAATAAAGCTTTCGGATCCCGGGCTCGCGTCTGTGCGCTATATAGCGTACCGACATATCGAACTCGAGTGCAGCGCAGTATATAAACGCGCGTCGCGCGCTTATGAATGAATGACGCGGTAGATAGAGAGACACGGTGCACAGCGTACCGAGGTAATGCATCGAAATGTCATTTATTTCGAGGTATATAAAGAGAGCGAGAGAGAAATGCAGCGCGCGATAGATAATTTAGTAATTATGACGGAGCATCGACACGAGAGCTCGCGACGAGTATAACAATAGCCGTGCAATCGTGTATTATGGAACTGCGATTGATATCGAGAGCTTTTGTATACGATGTAACTTGAAAATTTCGCTGTTTTTCCTCCCCTCGAAACACACACTCGAGTCGTCGAGTTCATCGAGCTATGAATAACGACAGATCTCGTTCATTTTTTTATTTCCATTTTTACTTCTTACTCCAGAATCGCGGTACACTTATCGCGCTTGCAGAGCGAGACAAGTCGAACGCCCTACGAGAACACGTGGGACGTGCAGCTACCCACTTATATCTATACGTGAGTATAAAAGCTCCGCTCGCACATGGACCTACCGAACTGTGGCGAGACCGCCGCGACGAAGAGCGCCAGATACATCGCTTTCACCAGAGCCCCCCTGGCTTGTGAAACGGCACTTTTGCTTTTTTCCATTTTGGCTTATTTATTTATTTTTTTTATTTTCTTATCCACGTGGACGATCCGCCGACTGCTGCAGCAGGCTGGGTATACGTATGTATAAAACGATCCTGACAAAGAGTCCCTTCGAGCGAAATTGTTTTTTCCACACTTATGTTTGTATCACCGGATCATATGGTAATACAACGGAAGCTTTTTTTTGCGCACAAACAACACAACGAGAACAACTTAAAAAAAGAAACTCGAGCGCACTCGATTAGATTTTTTTTTTTTTTGTATTTTTCCACGCGCACACCAGTACGAGCTGTAGCAATGATAATAATATAATGTAATAACGACGGGGGGCCGCGTGCACGCGACAGGCCAAAAATCGACTCTTCACGCGCGCGCGGATCGTTGTACTTGCGAACTGCTGGCTAGCCTTGGATTGACTAGACACACAAGACTCTCGTTTTGTGCTCGCTACTGCTGGCTCTCGCTATGCTCGCCTCGTGTCAGTGTTCAACTGTCTATGTGTGTGTGTGTGTAGACGTGTGTGCCTGGCCCCGCGCGCGCACCACCAGTGCAGCAGTAGCAGTAGCAGTAGCACCACCACTACTATCCACCACTACTACGAAAAGGCGCGCGAGCGCGCTTGCAAGCTCTACTCGCCGCGCGCGCGTACACAAGTATTGTACGTCTTCTCTTTCGGGCTCGTTTTTACATAACTGCACGTAGCTTTTGCTTAGAATACGTATTTATATTTACGTGTACACGTATAAATGTTGAAGCTTTAGCGATAGCTTTGCAGTCCGTCTATATGTGCCTTATAATACGGCGCGGCGGGCTAACACACATACGTACGTGCAGCATCCCCCACTCGATTTTCAAAGGCTCTCCGTTGCCGCCGCCGCCGTCGACGTAGCCGCCACCAGCAGAATACAGCAGCAGCAGCAGCGGAGTCGCGCGCCGTTTCTGCGCGCGCGTCATTCGCTGCCTGTCTGCCCGCTGCCGCCACGACGAGAATTAGACTATATATAGTATACGTACGTACTCGAGCGAGTAAGAGAACAACTCGAGTATTTACACTACTTATAAACTATAAATATCTAGACTACATGGCAAATCTAAATATTAAAATCTGAATATATTTATCGTGTAGTATAGCGCGCAAAATATCCAGGCTTTTTACTTACCTCCCTCCTTTTTTTTTCTTCTACTGTCGATGCACAGCATGTATAACGAAAGTGGATCTATAGTACTTATAGAGTTGAAATTCGCACGAGGTCGAGGAGCAGCAGCACGATGCACTCTTCGCGGACGCGCACATTCGATCTGATCGAATAACGATGAACGATATGTATCATTTCGAGCATACATATATAACGAATGCTCGACTTCTGCGATCGATGCCTTGAGGTACATAAGGAGATGATCGCATTTTCACGTTTTTTTCGAATTTAATGCGGCTGTTTAATATAAGCATTTTGATCCAGAGCCAGAATTACGATTAAAATTTTCAACTGTGCCGAAGAAAAAGCACAAAATTAATTTCAGCACATTTATAATTATTATAAATTCGGATGTGTACCTGCAGATGTAATAATATATATACGCTTCGAGAATGTAACGAATCGTCATCGCTCATGAAGCTTTCAGCTGCTCGTATCCAGGGGTCTGCAGCAAAGCCGATACGCGCGTTAGAAAAGACAAAAGATTTTTACAGACGCGCAGATAGCTGTTTAAATGCGGCACACGTGGTACACCGCGGCTCGTCAGATTTACATATTATTAAATGTCAAAAAAATCAACGAATACGTGCGCGCTCGAGATTTTTTCGTTCCTTTTCTCTTAAACTCCGATGGAATGAGAAATAATATGATGTAAAATTTTTCGCACAAAATTTGACCTTTGATCGTTCGAATTATTTTCCGGTCAATAAGTCAATGAATATTATATTCCTTCAAAACGTACGGTACATCAATGCTGAGTAATTACAGATAATTTTCTTAAATCTTTCTAGAATATTTCTGCTTTCTCCATGATTAAGCTGTGTGATAGGATCAACAACGTCCAGGAATCGGTGAATTTTGCTTAAATATTTGTAAACTTTATACGTTTAATGCATTCAAAGCGTCACCTCAAAAACTGCATGTATTATTGTAAATTGCAATAAGGACAGAGTGCAATAAAAACATATCACGTTTGTAATATCATTATGTACTGTATTGCTGCAGGCTCAAAGATATATATATCTCTTTTGTGTGCCTGTTTTGCCGCAAATATCACACGTGTGTATGGGCAAATTGTGCGCCTGGATGAGTGAAATTGTCATTGTAATTTTGGTGCATGACCAGAGAGTACCTCTGTAATGTAACGCATTACAATAGCTGCGTACGGCGACTGACCACGATGGAGGGAGAACCTGTTGCCAAGGAGATATCACAATCGCCGGGTCATCTGGGTAAAATACGGCTAGTGCGTTCAGTCGCTAGAGAGAAGCTGAATCTCTCGGTGAGAAAGTGCTTACATATAATATCGGTAAAAGTGTATAAGTATTCATCTATAATCGATAGCTACGGTATTGGTTACAACAGTGAAAACCTATAATTTAGCGAGTGATGGAAGACGAAGAAAACATATTTAGGTATGTAACTGTTTTTTGCCTAAATTCGGTCGTTTCATATAACTTGATTATTTTCCAGGGTGAAGGAGGAGCCGATCGATGAATGGCCAAGTGCAAGTGACGATTGTGATTTCGATTCGGTGGACTCGTCCAAAACCGAAAACTTTGAAACGTTGCCGCTTGATAAATCATCAGTGAGTTCAATGAATTTAAACATCTGTTTTTTTTAATACCGTTTACTATTACACATTTTTAATTTAAGGCGAATCACATAAGTGAGATTACGGCGTTAAGAGAAAAGTCAGGTGAAGAAATATCCATAGATTTTGAGTGCGAAGATGTTAAACCTGAACTGTCATCTCTATCGACACGCATTTGCAAATCAGAATATCAGAGTTATCAACCCATTGTGAAGATAGAAAACGAAATTCAGTCAGAAGACACAAATGAAGAAATATCTATAGATTTTGAGTGTCAAGATGTTAAACCCGAACTGTCATCTCTATCGACACGCATTTTCAAATCAGAATATCAGAATTGTCAACCCATTGTGAAAATTAAAAACGAAAAACAGACAGATGACATGAATGAAGAAATATCTATAGATTTTGAGTGTCAAGATGTTAAACCCGAACTGTCATCTCTATCGACACGCATTTGGAAATCAGAATATAAGAATTGTCAACCCGTTGTGAAAATAGAAAACGAAAAACAGACAGATGACATAAATGAAGAAATATCTATAGATTTTGAGTGTCAAGATGTTAAACCCGAACTGCCGTCACTGTCGAAAACGATCTATAAATCAGAATATCGAAGTTGTCAACCCATTGTGAAAATAGAAAACGAAAATTATTTGAATGATCGAGAACCAATAATATTAATTAAAAAAGAATACGATTATGTTAATAATTGCAAATTTAAAATCGGTTCACAATTGAAATTTCAAAAATATAATGATATAAAAAAATTGAGAAAAACATCTCAAAGTAAAATATCTTATAAGTGTAAAACAGGTAAAAAAGGTTATAAAGGAGAAATGAGCCTAAAAAGACTTGTTGACCCGACACACAAGAGCGTTGGACCATATGAATGTAACATTTGCCACGAATCATTTAGACAAAATAATCATCTCAAATCTCACATAACTATATTACATGTTCGGAGCAAACCTTTTAAATGTGATATTTGTTTCAAATCATTTGGACAAAATAATCATCTCAAAGTACACATAAATGTAGTACATGATCGTAACAAACCTTTTCTATGTGAAATTTGTCAAAAATCATTTGGACAAAAAAGTAACCTCAAAAAACACATAAATACAGTTCACGATCAAATCAAACCCTTCGATTGTGACATTTGCCATAAATCATTTGGAAACAATAGTCATCTCAAATCTCACATAACTACAATACATGTTCGTAGAAAACCCTTCGTGTGTGAGATTTGTAAAAAATCATTTGGAAAAAAGGGTAATCTCGATAAACATATATGCTTAGTACATGATCGTAGCAAACCCTTCGAATGCAAAATTTGTTCAAAATCATTTGGACTAAAAAGTAATCTCAAAAATCACATAAATGCAGTACATTATAGGAATAAGTCCTTTGAATGTGAGATTTGTCACAAATCATTTGGATTTAAACAGAACCTCAAAACTCACATTGATACGGTACATGATCATATCAAACGTTTCGAATGTGAGATTTGTCACAAGTCATTTGGACAAAATAATCATCTCAAATCTCACATAACTACAGTACATGATCGTATCAAACCCTTTGAATGTGAGATTTGTCACAAAACATTTGGAGAAAAAGGAACCTTAAAGAAACACATCGATGGAGTGCATAATCGTAGCAAACTCTTTGATTGTGAGATTTGTCACAAATCATTTGGAGAAAAACAACATCTTAAAAGGCACAAAACAACAGTACATGATCGTAAGAAACCCTTTGAATGTGAAATTTGCCATAAATCATTTGGGCTAAAAGGTAACCTCAAAAAACACATAAATGCAGTTCACGATCAAATCAAACGCTTCGAATGTGACACTTGTCACAAATTATTTAAAGCAAAATGTGGCCTAAAATATCACCTGAGTGCTGTTCATGATCATGTCAAACCCTTTGAATGTGAGATTAGTCAGTAATCATTTGGACTAAAAAGTTATCTCAAATCTCATGTAAATGCAGTACATTAACCCCTCAAAGCCTTTGAATGTGATATTTGTAAAAAATCGTTTGGACGTAAAAATAAACTAGAATCTCACATAATCGTACATGATTGTATCAAAATTTGGGAATGTGATATTTTTCACAAATCATTTGAATAACAGTTTAGACTTAAGATTCACGCGAATATAAAACATAATCAGAAAAAACCTTCAAATGTGATATTTGTCGCGAATAATTTGAGCTGATGAATCACCTCAAATCTCACATAAATGAAATACATAATCGCAGTAAATCATTCAGTAGTGACATTTGTCAAAAATCATCTAGTCGTAAGCGTAGCCTCAAAAGCCACACGATGACAGTACATGATCGGAGTACCTTCTAAGACCGTGAGATCTGTTACAAATTATTTAAATGTAATTTAGACTTCTGCAATCATATGAGCTTCATAATTAAAAAAATCTTGCATGTAAATATACTTTAATTTTTCGATAAATAATAAAGTATTTACTCTGTTATTCAAATTGTAGTGATTGTGAAAACCTGCCACTCGCCCTTTTTACATTATTTAAAATATAAACAATACCTCTCAAGTACCTACTTCTTATCCGTATGCAAGAAAATCTTTGCCTTGAAGCCAAAATTATTTCTAAATTACAAAAATTGACCTTTTCAATTGATTCACGAACGCTCGGATGATTGAATACCTGCAATCGCCGATAAAATAAAGCTCAAAAAGATATCATTTCACAATTTTCTTTCGCTTCGGATCAATTACGTAGTTAAGTATAATCCTCGCGAAACATATTACAATTCCGGTGTTAATGAAAATAAAAACGCAACGAAAATTGCTTTTCATGTTCTATCCAAGTTCCCAAATTTTTTTAGAATCTTCGGGGCTGTTAGTCATCGTCTTTCAGAAGCCCAAAGTATATGTTTTTAAGGATACTAACGCACCGAAGCTTCAACAATAAATATTTTAAAGGACACATTCTGAAACTGAAATAAAGTTTTTTTTTTAATCTTTCGGAATGTGGCTCATAGCTGCAAACATTTATCATTTTGAAATTGGATAATATGTTTTATTTTTGGTATTCAAATATAATAATATCACCTATTGTACTTGACAGAATGCATTTTCTTATCAAATCGTATTATTGCGAGAATAAAAAAATCTTTAAGTTTTTATTAATTTTAATTCAGTTTACATCTTTCTCTTCATAGTTTAAATTTTTTTCAAAAAAAAGTCAACCTAAATACGAGGATCGGGCTGGCAAATTCAAATGCTCGCACCCAAATTTTCTACCTCGATAGTACGTAAGAATAAGAGATCGTGCGCTACTGCACACACTCAAGCCAAAGAGAGAGAGAGAGAAAGGGAACGAATATTCGCCAAAAAGGCCTCTCCGTCCCTGTCTCTCTCTCTCTCTCTCTCTATCTCTCTCCTTCTCTCCTATGCACGATTCGGCGCATTTGCGTGGCTGGCTCTCGCCCTGCCTGCGCCTGGCGCATATTATATACGTGTGGGGGTGTGCGGGATACGCTATACCCATATACACACATACAAACATTGACTCGGGCTCGCTGCGCCGCTCGCCATGCCTGCCCGTGTATGTGTGTATAGGACATAGCCGCATAATACTGCGTATATCGCGCGTACAACCTGCAGCAGTAGCACCAGCACAGCAGCAGTGCCGACAGCGCAGCGCGGCGCGACTTTTTCGCGGCGGCGTCTCTCTTCTTCCTCTTCCGTATATATAAAAATCGTCGATATATCTTACGCGTGTGTTTTGTGTGTATATTAAGTATATAAGTTTTTTTTTATCTTGACATCAGTGCAAGTGCGAGTGACTAATATTATTCGTATATAGCTGAAAAAAGTCATACATACAAGAGTGTGCGCTCCGAGTTCGAGCGCAATACATATATAGCCATAACGATATCGTCGACGCTCCTTGTCAAATGGTAAATATTATAAAATACTCGACTACGCACACATCTGCATCTAGGCTTGGGTTAGGCTTTACACATACGTGGGATTACACGGGGCTGCACACTGCGCGCGGGACGTGCATCCGCATAAAATAATCGCATTTGGGTGACAACACATACACGTACATACATACGCGCCTGATAGTATTATGCATCCAGCGTATATACAAACACACGGAACAGCGACGACGTTATACGGTGCAGCTTTTTCGCAAGCACACAGGTATACGCGTACAACGCACACCCACACCATAGCTCGCTTAAAATAATCAATGATCCTCGCCGCGCGCGCTATATGCATCGGTCGGCGTGGTACACTACGTATACACACGCGAGTGCGTGCGTGTGCGACACTGCGCGCGTTCGATACAAATATATTTATGTTATATATATTTGCAAGCCGGACACATACACGCGCGCTCTTATACGTATAATGGAAATCATCATCATGGAAGTAAAAATTGCGCGTCGCGAGGGATGCAGCGCGTACCGCACCATGGACGGTGTGGGAGCCCCATGCTAGCACGGCGTAGCATGGAATCGATTGATAAGCGATAAGAGAAAGGGGAGAACCTGTCCTAACCTCGCGAATATATTCCTTGCTCCGTAATATATATGTATACGAAAGTGTTCTAAGGTCCGCACGGTGCCTGTGTATATGTTGCGCGCCTCTCCTGCTTCTGCTGCTGCCTTTCCTCCTCCTCCTCCTCTTCTTCTACTTCTTTCTCTCGTTTGCCTCCTTTTTAATTTTGTTTTATTTTTTTTTTTCGTACGTATACACATACATGCGAGCCGCTGGGGCACACACATGCATATAATATCGTCGTATATGCGATGTATACAGTCACGCGCACTCCCACATGTATACACGTCAGACACACGAGGGGAGCTCCTAGCCGGTCTTTCTCTCTCTCTCTTCACGAATTTTATCGGCGAGGAGAGCTGCATTGGCCCGTGGGTCCGCGCCTCTCTCTCTCAATATTCTCGCATCCTTTTACGAAATGTGTACAAGAAGTATCAAGGTGAGGATCTCTCCTCCTCCTCTTTTCTCTTTCCCTTCGTTCTTCTAATATAATGCAAGAAGAGCGTTTAGATTCTCTCTCTCTCTCTCTCTCTTTGGCCAGCCATTTCGGGGCTTACGTGTCGAAGATTTACCTCTTTTGCTTTCGTTCGCGCGCGTGATACACAAAATACATACGTGTATTTTGCTTTTTTGCAGCGCGAAAAAGGAGTCACACTGAGAAATATCGATTTACAGCGCGCGCGTGTGTGTGTACGGTGTGCGTGATGTAAACGTTCGAATTTCCAATAGAGGCTCGTCGTGCGCGCATGTGTATGTGTGAATGTATACTATATCGCAATCAAAACAAAAGCTCTCGACTCGCGCGCACGAGTGCAACTTTTCTGCGAAGAACACGCATATAAGCAACGAAACTCGCCGCTAAGACCTTCTCTATAGTTCCTGTAAAAACGTGACGCATTATTATTAGATATATGAAACCTCGTGCGGACGTAAAATTCACAGTTCTCTCTTTCTCCGGGTTTACGTACAGCCACGGTACGTATGTATTGTATAGATATATAGATAGAGATATGGGCGCAGAGAGAGCGGCACACCGTCACCACCATACCACTACTACTACCACTACTACTCCCCCACCGGCTTAATATATGACAGCCCTTTCCACCGACGATCATCCCCCCGCGACCGTAGAGACTGACGACGACGACGACGATGTGTACAAACCCTGTGCCGTAGCACGCGTGTGTGTATGTGTAATACATGTGCCTCGCGACTCACCCTCTAGACTTCGCTTCGCAGTGGCAGCTATTACATGCGTTTTTAACGTGAGAAAAACGACGAAAGTTCGTATGAATTGAGTGAGATATCGCAGCCTGGCTATATGGATTTTTTTTGTGCTTTTTTATATTGCACGATTAATAAAAATGTTTCGTTTTTTCATTTATAATTGTACATTCATTTTTGACAGATGATTAACGCGTACGTATACGCAATAGAACATTGATAAAAGTTAAAGGGAATATACATTTTTATAAAACAACAAACTCGAAATTAAATAATACATGGATTTTGGTCTCTGTAATAGGTTCAATCGTAAAACACGTGTACGTCGTTCGCTGCGTACGCACGTAGAGATGTGCACAGATGTAACGAGCATTCCGCAAAAAAAAAACGAGAGCGAAAAAAGCTCGAACCGGTAACGAGGAAGGAAAAGCGCTACTACTCGCGTAAGCGCATCGATTTCCGTCGAAACCCGAATACTCGCGAGCGCGCGTACGAGAGACCGGAGACGGAGTGAGAAAAAGTAAAGGATATATGTGCATTTTGTCAATGAATCGCGGTGCAGTTACCGCACACGCGTTACACGGCCAGAGCGAGCGAAATTTTTTTTTTTGCAGTCGGCCAAAAATAATGTACAAGCTTCCTTGGAAATATCCTCGCCGTGCTTCTTCCTCGCAAGGGTGAGAGAGAGAGAAAGGCCGGGGGCATAGGCCACTGCTCTCTCTCGCTAGCGTTAACTTCGGCCTTTAAGGCAGTAGATAGAGTGAGAGAGAGAGAGAGAGAGAGAAGGATACACGAAAGAAAGGGGGATGAACGCGGCAGGCGCGTTGCGGGCGGCGCGCGGCACTTGGTCGTCAACACACAACCGCTCCCCCCTTCCCTGCACACACACACACTTACACACGTACATATGATCGTGTACGTACGTACGTATGTATATGCAGAGAGTTTCGAGACATTGCGGGGTTCGAGGGGGATGTGACTGCACAAACGCGTGTATGGCGTGTGTCATGCACTATAACTATATATACACATCGTGAACGCGGGGGTGGCCATTACGCGTTCTTAGACGTATCTCTCTCTCCCTCGCATGGATGTTATGAGAGGTGAGCAGCAGCAGCAACAGCAGCTCGTTCCTTCCTTCGCGACGTTTTCCGCGGCAGAGATTTCGCGCATCGACAAGTCACGAGTTTTGCTTTTCGCGAGAAATCTTAAAGTGTCCTTCCCACGCGCGATTGTGTGTGTTTAGCTCTACGAGGCACACGGGATCGAGCATAAGCAAGTATCGACTGGGGGTAGGAAGGGTTATATTCTCCGTGTAACTTATACGCGTGTGTATAGATTCCGAAGTGCAGTGACCATGGGAGTAATAATATTATCATCGTCGTAAACAATCTTGCACCTTTTTTCTTCCAACAGTCAACCGAAGTTCGATAGAAGCTCCTTCGAAAAGTCGTAACAGGAAGATCGAAACTGAACTGCATAATTAATCGGATCGCCACCATTAACATCGTCGTCACGTCGTCGCAGTCAAGATGAATTTTCCACCGTTCGGTGGCCACTTCCCGGGCACGATACCGAGCATCCACCAGTTCGCGGCCGAGGGCTCGGGTGGCGCCAGCGCCGCCGCCGCCGCTCGCAGCTACGCCAATCACTTTTCCAATCATCAGTCGCCGATCGGCGTGCCGGTGGTCAGCAAGTATCGCCAGGATGCGGCCGTCGCGGCCGCGGCAGCCGCCGCCGCAGCCGCCGCCAATCTGTCCTCGTCCAGCAGCGGCGGCAACGGTCTGCAGAACCAATCGATGATGAACAACAAGTCGTCCTACGGCTCCAATAGCAGTAATGTGCATCATTACGCCAACGTGCCGTACTCGTCGCAGCAGGTGCTGCAGCGGCCCAACAACACGCCCATGACGGAGAAGAGAAATTATCAGCAGGTATGGTCGAGCGTGAGAAAAATTTGGGAACTTTTGATCGATGTGATTCGTTTTTTTTTTTGCAGATCAATAAGCACGACAAAATCAACAAGGACAAGCACAAATCCAACAATGAAAACAATCATCATCAGCAGCAGCAACAGCAACAGCAGCAGCAGCATCAACAGCAGCAGCAGCAACAGCAGCAGCAACAACAGCATCAACAGCAGCGCAACAACGGCGATCACTCGTCGAGCAACGGCAACGATTATCTGCATCAGCAGCAGCAACACGCGCACACCCAGACGACGCCGGCGACGATGCCGGCCTCGTGGCAGTCGCTAGCCACTCCTGGCTCGACGGTGGCCGACTACTTGAGCCATCTACCCGCGTCTACCCTGCCCCTCAGCCTGCATCATTTCCTCAAATACTCGGCCGAGAGCATCAAGAAGGAGAGCGAGATGGCCCAGACGGCGCAGTCGAACGCCGCGAGTGCCGTTGCAGCGGTGGCCGCGGCGGCGCAAGCCTCCACGCCTAATCAGCAGCACCACATCATGATGTCGACGAGCAACGGCGGCGGCGGTGTCGGCGTCGGCAGCAACAGCAACGGCACCGCCAACAACGGCAAGAAGAAAAAGAAGAAGAAGGCGCCGAAGGAGAAGAAGCCCCGACCCAAGCCCGGCGAGATACGCCTGACCACGGCCCTCGACGGCTCGACCCTGTACTGCTGCCCCGAGTGCCACATGGCCTATCCGGAGCGCGAGCTCCTGGAGCAGCATCTGCTCGGCCACACGCTCGAGCGACGCTTCGTCTGCGACATCTGCGGCGCCGGTCTGAAGCGCAAGGACCACCTGACGCGACACAAGCAGAGCCACAATCCCGAGCGGCCCTACGTCTGCACCGTCTGCCTCAAGGCGTTCAAGCGAAAGGAGCAGCTGACCCTGCACTTCGTGATACACAGCGGCGAGAAGCGCCACGTCTGCACCGAGTGCGGCAAGGGCTTCTACCGCAAGGATCATCTGCGGAAGCACACCAGGAGTCACATCGCCAGGAGAGTCAAGGCAGAGCTCAGTCAGAATTCTGGTAACATTTTCGTACACTCACAAACTGAGAAAAATAAGTACTTGCTATAGGAAAAATTACCATTTTATAGAAAATTTTTCATTATTTTTACAAAGTAACATAATAAAATTTACGATAACATGGTAATTTTTCCTATAGTCTTTTCTTAGTGTTCATTTTTAAAATTCAAAAATTTAAAAATCCAATTGACGTTCTCGCAGGTAATCAACAAAATCAAGCGCAACAACAGCAACAGCAGCAGCAACAACAGCAACAGCAACAGCAGCAACAACCGCCCCAGCAGCAGCAAAACAACGTGAGCAGCAGTCTGCAGTCGAACTCGAGCAATAACGGCGTCGGGCACGCCAACAGTCTGCTATCCTGAGCCCCGCCACCCGGGAACTTTCAGGTTCCCGCGGCGCACGCAGCGGCCAATCTCCTGCACGAGGCGGCGGCGCACCATCACGCCCAGCAGCTGTATCAGGCCCAGGCGGCGGCCGCCGCTGCGGTGGCCCACGAGCTCGGCAACTTTCTCGGCAGTCACGCCGCCCAGCAGTCCTCCAAGGATTTCTGAGACTCGGCCTCAGCGGCCGGCTGGCACGCGCCCGGTCATCAGACTCAGGGCCTCGCCAACGGTTGATCGGAGAGAGAAATCGCGAGGATCATAGAATTACCAAAATTCTTCTACCCTGAGTAACGGTAGGGAGTTGGACGTATTTTTAAAAGAAAAGAATAATGAAACGATGTATGCGATCTCAATTGTATAATGATGAACGATACTCGAGCCCATCGTAATACGCATAATTTAAAAATTAAGTGTATAGTACAAATCTGTAACTTAAAAAAAGGATAAACGACAATTTTTCTTTTTCTTCGACTATACGTTATATAGATACGCGAGAAAAACAGACTGTGCTTCGTTTTGCGCGAGACCTCACATGGATCTTTTACACGGACTCCTTATATAATACTGATAGATTCCTCTTTCGTTCATTTTCAAGTGACTGATAATGAAACATTTTATAGTATGTACAAAGGGCCTTAGCACACGATTAACCGAATACACATTATATAAAAAACAAAACAAACGAGAAAAAATGAAGACTAATGAAAAAAAAGCAAAATGTGACAATTTATCGTTGATAATATAAACGCGTGAAAAACATAATAAAAAGTGGCAATATTTTACGTAACTTATATAGAGTGTCGACTTGTGAGAGATAAGAAAAAAATTAAGTGCAGATTTTTTGTACAGTATTGCGAATAATGCAACTCATGCAAGAATAATATGGTTGCACGTTTATATCACACCAATATTTGACATTTTTCTATATGCGCATATTTTTTTCATTACTTTGTGATAAAGTTAGAAGCGGACGACAATACTTTGAGTTTTTAAATAAGTATTAATCAATGTTTCATTGTGATTTTGTTATAATAGACCACAGCCATTTTAATGTGCCATAATTTTTTTTCATTTTGCCATAGTCTTTTCGTCAAGTTGTATGACTCGTGTAACTTCCATATCGTTCCTTGCTCGCATTATGGAATCGTTGTAGATTTGCGAAATCTTAACAGGCTTTACTTTTTAAGACTGATAGCGGCGTACTAGACAGTCCTAATGATTCACATGATTCTAGTCGTTTTGATGAGTACATTAAGTCAAAACCAATCATAACTTTTTGTATTTTTAATATTATCGGGGCAACGATTTCATCAGAGAGACAATGTTTTTTTTATATTAATATATGATAATATCTGTTGTAAAACTGTGTGCAATTTATGTAGCATTTTTGGGTGTATTTGTAGCTATAATTGCTATAAGAAAATTTAACAAATATACGCGAGTAAGTTTATATTGTATAAGAGTTCGAGGCAGTTGAAATGAGATGATCTCAAATACACACACAAGATAACAGATGGAGAAAAGTATCAGAGACGTACTTTTTTCATCCGATGCCGAGTGCATTAAAATAGTAATTAAATAGAATACTGATGATGACAAACTAAACATGGAAAAATGAAAAACGAACGTATAGTTATATTGTATACTAAAGAGTTAAGGCTTTCCGGCAATTACTTGTAGATTTTAAGGCAAAACTACTTGTATACAAGTGAACATTTTAGCAATTAAAAACTATTAAAGTCATCCTTAAAATTTAAGGTGACGATTTTTATCGAGGGAGAGGGAGAAAAATGTAAATGAGGATATTGGCGAAAGGTGATGAGAAACTAGAATCAGAAAAAAGGAGACGTGTATTTCGAAGTGCACGCGAATTACGCGATAAGTTCGGTGACTGATGGATAAGTAATTTTTTTTAAATCTAATTTGTGTATTCCACGTGATTAATTATAATGCGAAATATTGTGTATTACTGTATACACTCAATGGCTTCCTTCCAACAAGTATTGTTTTCTTTTTTTGTTACTTAAGTATATCATTATAATGACTTTTAATTCGTGATATTTAAGATAAAATGCAATGTTAAACGTGTATGAAAACTTAAGAAATAAGATTTGAATTTAGTTAATTGTTTAAGTTGCGCATAGCTTTCATAAATAATTATTTTCAATTGATACTTTCATTTTCTGTCGAGAAATCAAACGTTTGCTACGAAGATGAGCTCTAGATACTTTTTGACATAATTTTATCGCGTGCAATTTAATTGTGAAGGAAAAAAAGAAACGACAAGTCCAAAGCTTTACGAGCGAATTTTTTGGTAAAAAGAGAATGATAGAAAGAGAAGAAAAGAGAAATGAAAAATATGAAGTATATATCAATAATATTAATAGTAATAGTAATAACGATAACGATATTTTTCTATACTCAGCTTCTGACGAGCTATTCAAATAAAACAAAAGAAATAATGAGATATTGTAAACTGAGATGAAAGAAAAACAAATTCGAATATTGAAAAAAGAAGGAATGATTTTTTATGAGTGGTACGAATTCTCTATAAAGAAAGTTTGCTCGATTTTTTTGTCACATACAAAATGATTCTCATTTTCATCCGACTGAATAATGACTCACGAACATGTATAACAACATCACTAGTGCTCGCGTCGAAGGGCCGCTGACAATAACTGGAATATTTTTCAAAAAACCTCTTAATAGGATATCTTTTCTCCGAAAAAAATAGCAGGCAGAAAATGAAAATAAATGATTCGCAATTGTAATATATTAATAAGTACGAGAAAAACGCCGTTAATTAAAAAAAAAAGAAATGAAAACAGTGAGCAGTAATTATATTTATAAATATAGATAAACAAGCATGTGTATAAAAGCTTTAATACCGAAAAGAAGCAGAGAATGAAAGAGGGGGAGAGAGACATAAAAAATTCCTTGACGTATAGTACAAAGCTCTTTTTTCATACAATTTTTAGCATGTAAATCGCGAATTAAATTATTGATTAAAAGAAAAAGAGAGAGAGACGAAGAGTAAAAAAAGAAACGTTAAAATAACGATTAACTGGACACCAGAGCGCGGGGAGTATAATGAGTTTTCGCGCACAAATAATGCCTTTGAACAATTTTGATAAAAACACTCATTTAAAGATCGCCATCATATATCCGATATACGATTATACTTTTCACTGTACTTAATTTGTCAGAGAGAATAATTACCGACACTTTTTTTTACGTAATAATTTTCGCGATTCATATAGCTTTCCACATTCCATTGCGATGTATTATTTTTCTTTTTAAGGATTATCACGATAAATGTGATGAAAAGTTAATAGACAAATGTGTAATGTCTTCGATAGAATTCTGCGTTATGTTTGTCGTTTTATTTTTTTCGTTAGACCTAAAAGCTAGTATCCCGTAAATTCGTAAGATTTGTGAGTATATAAATAAAAATATACGACTATTTTTCAAAGAGGAAGACGAAAAAAATGGAACCTTATAGATGTGTGCGCGGCGACGCGACTTTTGTAGACGACGTTATCTACTTAAATAAGCAATATGGGAATGTTGAGACTTTTTTGTGAACATTTTGAGTAAGAGACACAACAATTCCTACTCCATCAGTGCTGCTTTCATGTAATAATCTTATACATATTTGATATAAACGAAATATTATATCTATGGATAATAAAAAAAAAAACAAAAATCAGAAAGAAATCTACCTGCATTTATTATTGATTTTTTCCTTCATTTATAATTCAATGCCGTTTTACATAATTTAGATTGAAAATTGAAATTAATTTTTTTCTCCAGTTTTAAGAGCTTCTTATAAACAACTTATAGGTGTCACTAGTGGTTAGTGACGTATGTTTTGGTGTCAGACCCGCGAGGTCTAGCATAAATAGTCTCGCCAAGCAAGCCACAACAGAGAAAAGCAAAATTGATCAAAATAGTTGTAGTATTTGTATTATTTTGTTGCATTCAAATAATCCCAGTTCAGTTTTTTGTTTCCATAATAAAGGTCATCGAAAAAAAGTAGGTTACTGAAAATTAAATTGTTTGCTAATATATTCGAGACAAGAAGAAACTAAACAATTCACACGTTTTCAACTAGCCTTGTGTTGAATAGCATTCAAATACCTTATTAAAATGGCATTACTACATTAATATGGTATTGATTAATAAAAATACTTTCATAAAATTTTCATACAAATATTGATTATGGTTAACATAATTAATTTTTCTTAATGTCATTTCAGGTGTTACTTTATGGATAAAGAAAAAATTGAGACTTCAACAGTTGAAGATAATAAAATGGAAGCTGAAGAAAGAATAACGAGTGCAGAATCTGAATCTGATTCAGAATTAAAAGATTCTGCAGAAGAACCAAAGGAACAACCCTGTATCCTTAGTAAAGAAAAAATTGAGATTACAACAATTGACGACGATAAAATGGAAGCTGAAGAAAGAATAACAACAAGTGTAGAATCCGGATCCGATTTAGAAATAAAAGATTTTGCTGAAGAACTGAAAGAATATCCTCATGTACTTGAATATATTGATAAATTACACTCGTACATCAAAAAACAAAATGAAGAAATAAAATTGTTGAAACAAAATTCACAAGTTCAGGAAGATGAAAGCGATAGTTCAAGTATAAAATCAATACCCATCTCAGCAGATCAGTCCGATGAAATAATATTTATAGGTGAAATAAAAACTAGTCAAGTTGACAGCACTAAGAGCTTCATAGATGAAATTAAAGAAGCTGCGGAAATGAGTGTACAACAAACAGGATTTGTGTATGATGAAAATTCAGGTTTATATTACGACCATAAAACAGGTTATTACTATGATCCCAAATCTGGACTTTACTATGATGGTAAAACTGGAATTTATTTTTATTATGATAATGAAAAAAAAGAGTTCAAGTTTCACAGTCAAATAGACATAAGTAAAAATAAACCTGATAAAAAATCGTCAAAAAAGAAGAATGATGAAGTTGATGCAATTGATCGTGAAGATGGTGAGCTTACTGATAGTGATTTTGAAATGGAAGTATGCGAAGAAGATACAACAGATTTACATTATGAGGATGTAGAAATGGTAAGACACTCATCAGAAATTGACCCATGCATGAGGATTATTGTTACAGAAACAGATATACCAAATTTAAAAATTGGTTCATTATTTATTGTATCATGTAAAGGCGGCTCTATTGGGAGAGAAGGTGATCACTCTGTTATAATTCCTGATATAAATATTAGCAAACATCATGCTGTGTTTCGATATGATGAATCTGAAAAGTTGTATAATATTGTTGATCTTGGTTCGAGAAATGGGACGAGTCTTAATGGTAAAAGATTATCAGCTGCTAAACAAGAATCTGAACCTACACAAGTTATACATGGATCGATATTGAAATTAAGTAAAACCAAGTTATTGTGTCATATTCATAGTGGATACGACACTTGTGAACAATGTGAACCTGGACTTATTCAATCAGAAAAAGTCACCAATTCAATCATTAAACCATCAACTAAAACTCTACATCAGTTGGAGTTAAGACGTTTGAAAAATAAATTTGGCATAAAAGATGAAGAGTCTGAATTACCATCTAATTCTAATTATACAGACAGAGCTCAGAAAAGACGTGATTGTGTTGGTTCTTCAAGTGATAGTGTCAAAACTGAACAAAGTTCTGTAGATAAATCAATACCTAAAGATAATATAGGTTTTAAATTATTATCTAAAATGGGTTGGTCAGATGGTGAATCTCTTGGTAAAAACAATGATGGTCTATTAGAACCTGTGCAAGTCAGTCAAAATGTGGAAAGAGCTGGCTTAGGAGCTGTAAATATTCCCAAAAAAAGTACAGAGGTCACTAAAAAAGACAAGAGAAAACAAAAAATTTTAGAAAAAACTAAATTTCGCTATGAACAAATTCCTGATCCTCCTCAGTCAAAGCCAGTAGCATCACAAGATACTGTCAAAACTGAGCAAAGTTCATTAGATGTATCAATATCTAAAGAAAATAAAGGTTTTAAGTTGTTATCAAAAATGGGTTGGTCAGAAGGTACAAGTTTAGGTAAAAATAATGATGGTCTATTAGAACCTGTACAACTATGTAAGAACCTTGAAAGGACAGGCTTAGGAGCTGATAAAACAACTGTAAAGAAAAAGAAATTTAGTGAAAACAACAAACATAGAATTCAAATTAATTTTAAAACTGGAAAATCTGATTGTGATTCTAATGAATAATTTCCTTATCTGTTATACACATTTAATTTTGTAAATAGTATCATGAATAAGTTGATTTTGTTTTATTAATCATGCAATGAATTGTACATTTCAGTAATTAAATGAATTTAATTTTAATTTAATTTTGTAAATAGTATCATGTATAAGTTGATTTTGTTTTATTAATCATGCAATGAATTGTACATTTGAGTAATTAAATGAATTAATTAATGATTTATTATTAAATAATTGTTTGAAAAATAAATTTTATACTGAAAATTACAAAAAACTAGTCTATTTATTTGAAAATTTGACAGCTCCAAAGATTCGCATGTGTGCATTGTTATGACAGTCTCGATCGATAAAGCAGTGCACGGAAGTATGTAAGATTTTCGATATACATTTCGCATGATGTCGTATATACATGTTTATATAGTCTGCTTTATCGCTTATTATTTTTGTCTACGTCCTGTCACGTGAAAACTCGAGCCAAACAAACACGAATAAATAATTTCGCGAGATCTATAGTGAGCTATCAATAATCGTAGGCACGTGCTTATCATTGAGCAGATTTTTACAACTAGGTTACTTTATTTTAACTAAATGGTGGTTGAAATTATCTTTATACTGACATATTTATGTATGTAAGGTTATAACAAATTCTTAACAAACTCGCACGAGTTCTTAAAATATTTAATCTGCCTAAATTCTAATAATGGTACTCTGTGTGTAAGAATGGTGATTCAGCATTTCACATGCTTCAATTTCTATTGTAAACTTTATTATTTTAATCATGTATTTCAATCATTCAGGTGATGTTAAGGGGGCCAAGAAAACGTCGCAAACCCTCTACTTCTTGTCACCAGGAACAGTGTTTCCTTAAAAAAATTTGGAAATTAGCTGAGCGATGAATGCAGTCATTGCTCTTTGTACCTTTTGTGAGTTGCATGGTCCAAAAGTTATCTTTACAACACAAACTTTTAGAAATTTTGACAATCAAAACAATGAAAAGCTTAAATTTTATGGACCCAAAGAGGTCCTTCGACAAGATCAATCAATGAACTCAGATACCCAATGGGATTGCCAAGGATGTTACAGTCTAGGTAATCACAAATATCTCAGTAATGAACATGAAACTAGAACTTCCTTTTTATCAGCACAACAATCTTTAATGCAAGAGATTTGTGCTCTTCTAAAATACGCTTGTATAAGGTACGTAATTCAATAGCTTAATGATAACTAGAAAAGTTATAAAATCTTTTATTAATACTATTATATTACAGAAGTCTGAGTTGTGAAGTACATCCTGGAAAAGAAGGAGTCTGTTATTTTGGAGATGAATCAAGAGGACATGTTCTTAGTCACACATTTTCTTTGAAAGATGCTCAGGTTTGAACATAATTTAAAAAATTATATCTTTTATTAAAAATAGATATATCTAAAATTTTTCATTTAATTAGGCAAGGGGCTTAAGGAAATGGTGCAGTTTTATAGTACTCATGAAAGACAAACAATACTTATTAAATATGTGGCCTTTTCTTGTCGATAACTTGAAAGAAATCATTCGAGAGCTTCAGGAATTTGCTATCAAAAAGTACAATGCAGAAGAAGCAGAATGTCCTCAAAGAGTAGTTCGCCTAGCAAATGGTGACAAATCATCTAACAAGCTATCACGAGGCTTCAGTGAAATAACAAATGAAAAAAATGTTTTTGTAAGGGTGCACATGTGGTTTGTTTGGATATTAAGTGCTGGAGCAAGACATTTTGTAGAAGTGTTACCATTGAGTTTGATAGACGAAGAAATAGATTTTAATTTAGGAGTTAGCTTAGGTAAATTTAATAATTATATATAATATATATTTCAACAATCACTTTATGAATTTTTTTTCATTTTACAGAATCTGACAAAGGCTTCACTTTATTAAATGCCAAATCTCCTGTCAATCTTAACGTGGAAAATCAAATTCCTGATTTTAAGGACTTTACAGATCTTAATCCTGTATCAGTTCTTAGAAAATTGAAAAATAAAGTCGGATTCGATCAATTTCGTCAACTTCTGTACGCGACTTTGATAGGAACTCAAATTCTCATAAGAGGTTCACCCGCGGAAACCTTGGAATCTCTCTACGGCCTGTGTTCATTAGTACCAAGAGCTTGTCAAATAGTCAGAGTAGGAGCTAAGGAGTATATAGATTCAAAATCTTGTAATTTTATAAGTAGGTATACATTTTTTTTCACTTATCAATAACGTCGCAAAACCTGTATCGAAGAAAATTAATCGAAATATTGAACTCGTGCAGGTGTTGACACATCGGTGGCCGTGCCATTTCCGTGCGCGGCGGTCTGCAGACTTGACATTTTACCCGAGGAGCATTTAACCGAAGGCAACAAATCGCACGTCGTCAGATGGACGGGCCAGCTGCCCGCCAAATTGCCGACTCTCCAGATCAAGCTGGAAAAAGCATTGGGCAACGACAAGTTGACCGACACCGTTCTGCACGTACACTTCTCGACGCTGCAAGAAGAGTGGTCGAAGTAAATGTCAAAAATAACTTGATTTATTGCAATCTAATCTGACTTTCAATGACTCTTCGACGCTCATTTCGTTATTTCTCTCTCTCTCTCTCTTTTTCAGCATATCTAAAGTCGTGCACGCGATGCGAGGTCGAGGTCACCGGGGCGATTTGACAAGTCTACTGATAAGCTTAGGCGCGGGTCCGCAAGATCGTAAGCTCATCGAAGCCTGGTCGATGGGATTGCCTTCGAATCCAGCGTAGAAAATAAGTTATCGTTCTTGATATTATTATTATTATTATTATTATTATTATTTAAATTGTAAATACGCTTTGCCGTCTGCGTGTGTGATTTTATTTTTATTATTATTATTATTATTTTTTACGCGCCAAAGCACGATTGTTACTCATTCTACTTAATTATTTTTTTTTGCCCAAAATCACTGTTGAATACTATATGAAAATGTTTCTTGTACAAAGTTAACGATATGATGTATATTTTATATATGTTAAAAAATTTGTTACAGTCTACGAACTCGAAAAAAGTCGATCGATCGCCGTTATTTTTCTTTTTTTTTTTTTTTAAGGGAATGGGCAAAGCAGCGTAAAAATAGTAAAATTTGTTGGATTGATCCGGCGATCGAGGAGACGTTTGTTACATTAATAATAAAGTTAAAAATAAAGTAATTTTCTAAATAAATTTTTGCCTCGGCTTCGGTGTCAATACGCTCAAAGATGTCGTTGACAAAGCTGTTCATGACTTGTTCAGGCCTTGGAGGATACAGTTATAGGACAGTCGCGACACTGCACGCGACACTTAGTTTATGTTGTTATAGTAGCATACGCATTACATTGTATACACGCTCACACGCAGGTATTGCCATCGTTTAAAAGTCAGTCGATTTTTTCGTAATTTTTATTATTTTACAGTTCATCAAAAATTAATATTTGTAATCTCTTTTTTTATCAGTAACTTAAAATTGTACAATTCCGACGCAATATGCATCGTCCGGATATAATTAACGAGAGTTTTAACAGAATCAAATAATTATCTGTCGTATGTATGTACATTAAATTAAAATAAATTAATCGTAGAAATTATTATCAATCTTACAAATAAGTCATGGCATATTAATTTACATTCGTCCTCGAACTCCGCGTACTATATTATTATTATTACGCTCCGAATCGGGGGCGCGCATCGCCATGGTCGGTTTTTTGAATTTTTCTCAATTTTATTATTATTAATATGATACATCATTATTATTACGCTCCGAATCGGGGGCGCGCATCGCCATGGTCGGTTTTTTGAATTTTTCTTAATTTCATTATTATTAATATAATACATTTATCGTTAATGCGACTGTTCCATGTGAGCCAGAAGCAGCTCGTCGGTGTCGAGCAGAATCCCGCAGAGCACACAGAAGCACGTGTAGCCCGAGTCGGCGTGGATCTCGCGCAGATGTACTTTGCACTCCTTGATGCAATCGAAGGTCGGCCGCTGATCGTCGTCCGGACACACGGTGCACGTGTACAGCGTCTTGTTGTTGTCTTGGGGCAGTTTCGTGATTTTGATGCGCCAATTATTCGCTTGAGGGGGCGGCGGCCGGTCCAAGTTCGTTTCAGCAGTTACCGCTGCGGTCACGATGGTGGTGGTGGCGGTGGTCGTGCATAATTCGCCGGCCGCGCTGCGATCCCCGATGACCGACAAATGTATTTTGATCAGCGAGCTTCACGAGCGAACTCGCGAATCCGTTGTGCGAACGTGTAGTACGCAATTTTTCATATATATACGAAAAACGAGATCGGTAAAAAAAATGGGCAAAATTATTAACTGTGTGAATGCCAATAAAAATAAACTAAATTAAATTAAAATCCTCCTCAGCTGTAATAGGTCTAATACAGCCGAGTAGCGCTGCTCGACTGTACGAGACCCTATTAATTGCCCACACAGCTTGCTCAGCGCGTAATAAGCCTCAAACGGGCGAGTGTGTAGAAAATTTTATTAATTGTTGTAAAAGTTGTTACAGTCTACGAACTCGAAAAAAGGTCGATCGATCGCCGTTATTTTTTTTTTATAAGAGATGGGCAAAGCAGCGTAAAAATAGTTAAATTTGTTGGATTGATCCGACGATCGAGGAGACGTTTGTTACATTAATAATAAAGTTCCTATTTACTACTTGAAAACGATCTCTATTTGATTTACAACAATAAATCGCACTCCTTTCATCGACTTATCGACAACGATGATAGCCTGTCTGTGCGCGCATCAGCTCGAGCTAGCAATTAGCGCTATTATAATAAGTAATTTTCAAACTCAATATTTGCCTCTCGGCCACTCGTCAATGTTTTTTGTTCGTCTTAGTTCTTTTCAATTTCAATGGATTTCTTTATATGCATACATAATGCGCGCGATTACGCGATTATGTGGTAGTCTCTTTGCTTTCGTGCGAGCACAGTGGAATCAATTATACACGCCTTTATGAGAAAAATGCAAAAGCAAGTAACGCTAACTTTGCTAATGAAAAAAAAATGTTTCGAGCGTGAACTCATCGTGTTCGCGAAGGATAAATTTAGGAAATAATTCTTTACGACCAACGGGAGTCAATTGTACGTAGGATGCGGCACGGGATGTAAGCATCGCGTCTAATTGCGAATAGCGTCAATAAAACGTAATAGTTTGTATCAACGAGGCTCATCTCTCTCTTAGCTCGTCTCGTGCGCTCTCGTCCATGGTAGAAACTGACGCAGACACGCATACATATAGGAGTACACGAGAGATTCTAAACTGTTATTTCGAAATTTGAACTCGCTGGTCTGCAAAGTAGGCGAGCTTAATTATATACAGGGCCGTATCGAATTATAAGAGGATAATATCAACTCTCTATGAAAGTCCGGAGATCGGTATATAAAAAAAAAAAAGTGGGCGAAATAAATTTATCAAACTCATGAGATGCCAATGACACGTTTAAAATCGATTAGTCGACTGCTATAAATAAAAAAATCGAGTCATTCAACGAAAAATTCAATCGCTCTTGTACGTTTGCTTTGCGATACAAATACATAAAAACAAAGTAAAAGACGTGACAAATTCTGTATTTGCACAGGTCACAGACTCGCGCATGTAATCGGTATTTGTCAGCTCGCACTCGCGCGCGAATACAGCGACGACGACGACGACGACGAACTTTCTCTGTTTCGACACATGAGTCAGTCAGTCGAGACTCGTGATATGTGCTATATATATATAATGCATAAAGCCAACGCACATGCTTGACAACTCTAATGCCGCTCCCGTACGCCCGGAGCACGTACACGCTACATGTATAATATACAGCTGCGCGGCGCGCATTCAATACGATGCCTTAAATGGCCCTTCTTGCCGTGCGTATACGCGCGAGAAAAGTATGTGCCTTTTTTTTGCTCTCGGAGTACAGTACGCGAGCTGTCTGTGCTTCGGTTATGGGGATATATCATGTGCTTTCCGCTCGCATAATGGACGGCATAATGTGTATTGCTGCATTCGCCAATAACATAAGTAATGGTATATGCGACGCTCGCAAGTTGTAAAGTGTGATATTTTACACGCGCGTAAGACAGGTATACACGCATACACAAATTACGAGATGAAAAAAAAACTCGCTCGAGGATTATACATGTATTAACTTATAAACCCGATCGACGATCTCGAGATTCTCGTAAAAAAAAATCGCCTCATCAGTGTTTCTAATGAAGAGATAATCGGGGTGACAGTTTGCGCGATGACCAAACACGTCTCAAGTTCCTCGTCTCGACCTCTTTTAGTCGTTTGCCGATTTATCATATATTATATTTTATCATTAAAATCCATTCTCCGACACAATGTAACATAAGTACAATTGAAATTTTCGCCTATAAGCGTACTGTACACGCGTGACACGCCGGAGCAGCAGTGACAGGAGGAGCAGAGATGAAATTTGTCTCGCCGCCGCTGCTGCCGATGCCTCCCACGCGCGCCCGCCGATACTTTAACCGAGCGCCCGAGTTTACTATATACTCCCACGTGCGCCTGGCGATCGGTCGCTCACACGTACACAGACGCACGGTTCGCTCGTCATTTACACATTTCATACACACACTCGCACGCGCACACTAACGAGACGCGATATGGTAGGAAAAGATCTTGCAATACGCTCGTACGCGTATATAGACTTTTGCTAATGGTCCCGGAGATATATAGGTAAGGCGCGCGCGAGCTGCACACCGAGGATAATATAACGCTCTGGGGCACAGCAGCAGCACATGTGTGCTTACGGCAGCGGTAGTACTTATATTACGGCACGAGAGCGAGCAATAAGTACACACGCGCTGCAGGTCTGTGTGTAGGTGCACGCGGAGAGAGAAAGGAAGTAAACTTACCGGACTAGTCTCCGTCGCTCTCTCCCGGGTTCTGTGTGTCGTTTGTCGCCCGCGACGACGATCGCGTTACAAAAGTGTCCCTCTCGTCACATGGTGACCGGCATTCGGCATGGACTGATCGGTTGTTTTTTGTCGTTATCGTTCCTTCGACTGGTCTTTCGAGCGATTTAGTGATTTTTTTCTGCGAGTGCGAGTGTTTTCGAAGACGAGCTTAAATATACATACAAGTGCAAACGATAAGGATCGGAATCATGAGAGCCCTGAGGGTATGTAAAGATTTTTTTCAATTTACCTTTATGTATGGATTCCTTCGACGCGATCGCTCTAAAAGTGAAAGTTTCCTCGATTTTTCACGACAATGTATTTCTGCAATAAAAGAAAATTTTAAATAAATAAATAAAAATAATAAAAATTAAAACAAATGCATATGCTTGATGCATTATTCATCCTCTTTTTTTTTCATGTAATTCAACGATTTTAATAACGGCCTTGCCGATCAATTAAATACGAATCTTCGAAATTTGATTGCAAACATTAACGATCTGTTTCCATCCATCAATTAACGTCCAAATACCAAGCCCGAGAAAGTATTATACATATAACAGGCTCCCTCCGAGTGTATAACATCTGCCCGCGCGCGTCATCGCTCGTTCTCGATTCACTAATCGCTATTATATAGATTATCGCTTTGTTCGATCGTCTCTCGTTTCTTTTCTTTCTCTCGCGCGGTTTTCATTCATCATCGACGAACGTGACGATCATCGTAGTCCTGTGGCACACGGCCTCGCGGCACTCGCGCGTGAAAGGCAAGAAATCAAAAGCGTCAACCTACTTGCAAAAAAAAAAAGGAAGACGAAAAAAATCACCGATTTTTTCGAGTCGTCTTTCTATACGCTTACAATCACCAATAGTGTCAACAATAACATCTTAGGCCGCGTGCGCAAATGTGTTTGTCGAGGCTACTGTCACTGCTCGCACAAAAGCTCGCTCGCACATTACGACGAGTGCGCTAATTGACAAACACTGTACGCGCATCACTCGTATGGATAATGCACGCGTTGATCTTTTCGCTTTCTGCGTTGTATCCGTATAGGAGGAAAAAATTGCCGATCTCGAGAGCATCATCCTGTCGATGATCGACCATTACGACGAGCCGCACGAGGACGCAGAGGACAGAGGCAGCGAGCTGCTCAGCGACTCGCTGATGAGATGCATCGATTTCGGGGACGAGAGCAACGGTACCGGTGCTGGTGGTAGTGAGCTCGATGATCTGCTGCTGATGGGTATCAATTCGGATGGGCAGACGAACGATAGCTGCGAGGACGAGGTTGTTTCGACGACGACGACGACATCGAACCACGAAAGTCTGACCGAGGAAATTCAAGTGACATGCAATAATCACCGCAACTGCATCGAGCCGACGGATTTCTTGCCTATTTTGCCAAAGATTACGACGACGACGACGACGACGAGGCAAGGTCTCGCCGATTTCAAGACTGAAAAAAGCACAACGTCGTAAGTATGATACATCGATTGCATTTAATTTTAATGTACCGCGTACGCGTGCTGCACCCGCACCCACACGCGCGGACACGTGTAATACGGGGCCTTGTAAATCCTTGTGTGCATCTCGTGTCTATTACAAGTACGGCTATCTTCGCGCTCAGCGTGCGTTATTGACGTTGATGAATCGAACACGAATCGTGGTTAATTTATAGGAGCAGTAGAGAAACGGAATTGGGTGTATATTTTTCCTTGGTAGAGATGTTTAACATTACAGTGATGGTCGGTGATCAAAACATGACTATTTTAAAGGTTTTAAAATGCTAGCGATTTTTCTGTTACAATTGTATGGTACAGTTATTGAGCGCGTTTAAATTGACCAGACACTGACAGTTCAATCGTTTCAAAACATTTAGACGAGTTTTCATACAACTCAAATAGGATAATACTGATTTGAGTCTTCGCCGCTAGATGTCGAGTACCTTTCAATCTATAAATCTGCAAGTGGCAAAGTTAAAATAATTGTATAAGTCGAAGCACGGTTTTGAAATTACTTCACAGTAATACTAAATTATTTTTTTTTGTTTACCAGCTTACCGATCTTTTTTTACCGATCTCGTTTTTCCGATATATGAAATTCGCATTCATGTCATGCTTTTTGTTTCACGTGTTACGCTATAGTAGAGTGTACAAATATAAACGCGAGCGCGCGAAAAACGCGTTTTTCATAAACATTACTTTTTATATATTCGTATGTATTCCTTATATACTGCCGGTTGAGATTGCGCAACAACGGCACTTTGCGCGACTTTGTGTCTTGCGAGTTTTGCCGTTGATGTCCAATTAATATTCAACGGTCGTTAAAGAGAACCAGGTAATATAAATTCGCTAGAAAAATATCATCGCACGCGCGAGAGATGTTTCAAAGCGTTATCTTGCGCATTATGGTGAGCGCGCGCGTGTGGCAGCGACCGCACAAAATTCATAATGCGGGTATATTTATACGTTATAACAACAATCACAATAACATCGACGCGTGCACGCGATGTATCGGCGGATCGAGATCCGCAGAAATTTATAATGACACGTTGCGCGTCATACACACACACTGACTGCACGATTCCCTTCCTTTCTCTCTCTCTCTCTATGTCTCTCTTTTCCGAGACTCATTAAAAATCATTACGCAGCGGCAGTGGCAGTAGCAGAGTCCAACGACCGCGACGTTTCCTGGTCATCGAGATGGGCTCGGGCCGTCGACTCTACTCGTGCAGCGAGTGTCCCCTCGGCTTCCTGGAGGCCGGCGATCTCGAGGCGCACCTCGTCGCGTGCCATCCGGAGCTCGAGCGTCGCCACGTCTGTCGGGAGTGCGGCAAGGCGTTCGCGGCGCCTCGCCACCTCTGGAAGCATCGCCGCGAGGTGCACCGTTTGGCGGCCCAAGTGGACCTGCATCATCGCTGCGAGCAGTGCCAGCGAGGCTTCAAGCTCGCCGACAAGCTGCGACGACATCGGGCCACGGTGCACGGCTTGATCACGACTGGAAGAGGAGGAGGAGGGGCAGCAGCCGAGTACAGCAACAAGTACCAGTGCGACGAGTGCGGCAAGTGCTTCAATCGGCCGGACAATCTGACGCAGCACAGGGCCTACAGGCACGCGGGCAAGTTTCGCACCTTCGAGTGCCGGCGCTGCGGCAAGAAGTTCGGCAAGATGGGAAGTCTGAAGAGGCACGGCGCCGACTGCTCCAGGGACGAGAAGCTCTATCTCTATAACGCTGGGTTGCGAGTGACCCAGCAGCAGCAACAGCAGCTCGCCGAGGCAACTGTCGCCGGTTTGATCTCTAAACCGATTTAGCCTTATTGTTTTTTTTTTTTGTTTTTAACGAAATTTGTAAACTAACTGACTGAGTATGTATAAGTGTATATGCGTGCTGCGCAATGTATGAATGTGCATTAGTTGCGAAAGAAAATTTGCAGATGAATGCAGAATAGTGAGTGTAATAAAACTTTGTTATTGCTCGCGCGTTGAGTACTTTTTAAATATATATAACTAGAGAAAAAAATACATTGGCTTAAGTATCGCGCGCGAATAATTATTATCAGTATAAAATTTTAATGCTCTATTGCACGAAGTTGAGGAGAAGGTTGAATTAGATTCACATAAATCGCTGTATCTATAAAATTATTTAATTCGTGCGTAATGGAACACCACAACCGGATCCTAGATCCTCTTGGCACGTTCAATTGGTTTGAATTTAAGTTGGGAGGTTATGTAGAAGAGTCTGTCAATGTTATATTTTCTTTGGAAAAAAATAAGCCGGTACAAACAATGCGTACGTCCTTTTCTACCCAGTACGGAGTTGTACTTTCAGGTTAAATTGAAAACCGCTCTTATCCTAAAACGTTGACTTTTCTCTTATGGTTTTCGATAATTCGGTTATACGCCATCTAGCGGTAACTTATGAACTACTGCGCACCTAAAAATAAGTTAAAAACCCATGGAATTTTTAACTTTCTTTCGATGGCTTTCAATGTTGTTTTTCGGTTTTAAACATAATGTATTACTTTTAATGCGAGTATTGTTATTTAATTTCTCAAAATAACATCACTATCCAAATTTTCACTTAAAATTCACATATCGATCAAATTGTAGATATACAGTAAATTTACTTTAATTTTAATATTAGTACCACTCAATTAATCTTAATCGTGTTACTTTATTTTTTACGTAAAAATCGTTAACTGTTAAGAGCAAATGTCATTTTAAATTAATTGTAATGTAGGAGGTCATTAACTTATGACTGCTTGAATATTCCAGTACAAAAGTCAGTTAAAAGTACTTGAATAGTGTATCTTCTGATTCTTGAAAATTTACCAACTATCTTAGTATTTTTGTACATAAATCAAAATTTGAATAATAATCACAATAGTTAATGAAAAATAAAAATTATCGTCACGTATTTCGTCAATATAATATAAAGTGCATTGCCGCAAAGAATCGGAGACTGCGATCTGTCCTTTCGCATATAATATACTTAAGGAGTTGCGGCAAATTCATTTGAATGTTTTTACCATTACGTACACAAACAAGTGCGTTACCGGTAAGTACCGAGAGATCGGATCAACGACTCGCTCCCCGCATTAATAGCTGCAGCTCAACGGCGACGATGTATACCTTACACACGTTGGCCGATTTAATGAAAATTCATTGGTCGTCGTCGTCGTCGTCGTCGACCGACAAAACTGCAGGTTTCTGCACGAAGCGTTTCTCAACCTTCGAGCCAAAGAATCCGTCGCTCGAATTATTGAGAGAAAATGTGTACGAAGCTTTTAAGAGCTCTGGCCGCGCATTGGCATCTCGAGGCATGCACACGTTCCTCTCAGCACGTATGAAATACATCGAGATAACGAGCGTGGGAAGACTTATGCATGCGCGCACTCCGCGCGACTCGTATTTATTATTGCCTACAATGTGCATCGGTGACCTATACTAGTAGTCACTGAGCGTAATTGTGTTTCTATAAGCGAACAATTGAAGACGAAGAAGAAGATCAATTAAAGCCTGTATGAGCATGCCCGCGTGTGTACGTCAGGCGACCGATGCACCGGCTATTATAAAAGGAAACGCGATACGCGCGACGCGACGCGCGCACAACAACGTCATCGGTTGCGAGCGCGAGTTTAATCCTATATATCGGCAAATATTGGTTACTCGAAAAATATAATACCTTTTAATAAAGTCGTTCAGTTTCTGTGTGTCTCTTCGCGTGAGTTTCGACCTTGAACTGTACCATATTTTTTTTTGTTACGTATGTTACGATAATACAAATGACGAACGGATCGATTCGCGAAAAACTATAACGCGACGTATAATGTGGGCGATATCTCGACGAGAGACGCAGATACAAAAAAAAAAGACAACGTATACGACGGCAAAATAAATAATATCGTAAGTAGGCAGCACGAGTTCGATCGAAAAATATTATCTTTTGACACAGATGAAAAATACATCGAGTGAATTGGCCCGATTTCGAGTCTCGAAACTTTTTGTACGTGTATGAAATGACAATCAGATATTTGCGGGGGTGGGTGTGCATGTGTCATAGTGTTTTCTCGCGCGCACGATCACCTCGAATTGTCGTGGACAAATTTCTATCGCGCAACGATCCGCGCGTCCTTGGCACATTAGGGCGCCGCGCACTCACACAAATCCCATTTGCGCAATATACCTATACGTGTATTTATTCCAGCAACGGCCAGTATGTGTGTGTTTGTGTATGCGGCTCTAACGAGATATTGGCGCGCGAGCAAGCAAGCGAGCAAGCGACAATATATAGCGGCGGTGCACTTCAGAGGCACTCCATAATCGAATTATGTACGCTCCAGTGGCGTAATTGTTTTTTTCTTTTCTCTCGTTTTCTCTCTCTCTCTCTCTCTCACTCTCTGTCTCTTCTCTCTTCTCGCTCGATACGACGAAGGTTTTATCGGCTCTTGCGCTTTGCGATTTTGTAAAATATAGCTCTCCGACGAAAAAAAGATTCGAGCCACCGAGTGTGGTATTGATGCAGGTAGACGCAGGCGCGCGATTTTCGCATTAACGCGCGCGCGCGTCAGCTTATATACCGATGATCCGCGCGACGATATGACGCTCGTTTGGAATAATAAAAAAGAAATATAATGTATGCATCGGAGCTCTCGGGCGCGCGCGACCGCGCCGCATTTATATATAGTAGATTATGTATACTTCATCAACGCGTTAATAGCGTCGCCTATATAGCTTCTCTCTCTCTCTCTCTCTCTATCTCTTTTTTTCCTTTTTTTTTATATCCCCAACGCAGTCGGAGCACGTTTCAAAGACAAGGTCATCCTTTCTCGATTCATCAAACTCGATCCCCGTCCGCCAAGAAGCAGCCGTACAGCAGTAGCAACGGCAGCAGCAACAGCTCCTTCTATATATTCCACGATGCACGAATACCATGAAAAATCAAACTACTACTGCGCTCAGCGGCGTACGGCCGTCAGAATATATAGCAATAGCAACAAACAGGCGGAGCTGCTCCGTGCTGCAGCGCGATATATATATGAAAAATATTCGCCTGTTCAGTATATAGTTGCTCGGCGGGCTGTGTCGAGCGAGTCTGTGCGGCTGCGGTATAGTAGCGGCATAGAGTTTACGCGCAGAGACCGCACAGACGGAAGCGTACACAGCAGCAGCAGCAGCAGCAGCAGCAGCAATCGGGTTTACGCATACAAACGTCTTTATCTGACGCAGTGCGCGCTGCCTCTTATCGATATTTCGATAAAAATGATGAAGTTGTGTCGCGCGGTGCCGGCGGCGAGGAAACGACTCTTACGTACGCGTAAGGAGTGACATTAAATAACAAAAAAAATTAACGAGGCTCGTAATAAAGTAAGCCCGCGAAAGTTTAGCGCGTGAATCGCGAGTGCGTCGACGAATTTGAAAAACAAGCGCGAGTGCGTGCATATAGTGTTTACGACACACGCTACCGATCACCAAAAGAGTCACTATGGCGGCGGCGGCGGGATAGGAAAAACGAGCCGCTGCCTGCTGAACGCACTACAGTGAAACATTACACAGTGCAGAGAGTGAGAGAGAGAGGAAAGCAAAACAACGCTTCGGAGCAACAGTCGCTCGGCTCGTTTGCCGCCGGAGCGTGCACAGCAACACGCAGCTCGGTGCTCGTATAAAAGAGAGAGAAGTGCATAGAGTACTTACACATGCACCGCGCATATAATACAAAATACGCTGCGCTACAGTACGTATATACGCGCGCGGCGGTACCGTTTACTTTCACGAGAGGCTAAACTCTTCTGTACTCTCTGCGCTATGTCATGTAGTACTTGCATGTATACATATCTCTCTCGCACTCTTTTGCTCTCCCACTCGGGTTCCGTCTCTCTTTCTCTCTCTCTCTAGCTTAGCAACAAACAAGTAGTAGTAGTAGCTGATGTTGCTGCTGCTGCTGTTGCGGCTGGCGGCTGCATGCAGTCGTCTCTCGCGCGCTGGCTCAAATATACCAACCAAGTGCAGTCGGTGTTGTGTGTGCAATATATAAACACGGTATAAAACAGCAGCGGTAGCAGCAAGAGGAGCAGCAACAGCACCTCGAAAGAGAGAGAGAGAGAGATAGACGCTAGCGATGGTGACACGCTGGTACTACGACAAAGATCGTCGGCATCCGCCTCAGCGCAACAGCAGCAGCAGCAGATAGATAGAAATTAGTTAGTTAGCTCTCGCACGCGCTCACGACGACGACGACGACGACGACAGACTCTACAAACACGCACACGCGCGATTTAAAACATTATTAACGAGAAGATAAAAGCCGCCTACTTTAGACATTGCCATACATGGGAGAGCTGCTCGAGTGAATCACTGGCCTGCGTGTGTCGTCGTCGCTCGAGTATTTTAAGTATAATTCGCCACATAGAGCTGCTTGCCACTGTCAGTCAGTGCTTTCTGATCGAGCATGGCCCCGGCAATCAAGTTCGTACTGGCCAGCTCGCTCGACTGCGGCAAGCGGATCGTCCGGACGCCGTACGAACGATCATCGCCGAGCGAGCAGCGCGACAAGGACCCCAGGAGCGATCGGTTCATCTGCAGCGTCGAGCGACCGATCCGATCGCCATCGGCGTTGACCATCGCCAGCAGCGACTCGAACGATACTCGCGTCGCGATCGGAGGTAGATTGTATCGCTGCATGCGCTGCGACTGCGCCTCGTACTTCGCCACCTTTCCGGAGTTCAAGTTTCATCTGGCCCTGGCGCATCCGAGCCTCAGGCTCAAGTACGTGTGTCGGGTGTGCGGCAAGGGCTTCGCTACGGCGAACGTGCGCAACAAACACCGCAAGATTCAGCACGACGGCGCCAAGGCCATCGACGATGGCAATTACGAGGACGAGAAGGAGGGCGTCGTCGACGACGATCGGTTGCTGCTGGCCGCCGCGCGCCGTCACGTCTGCGACAAGTGTCAGCGCAGCTTTCGCGACCCGGACAATCTCAAGAGGCACGTGGCCACGGTTCATCGGGCCGAAGGCTCGTGCGCCCGGCCCCACAAGTGCGACCAGTGCGACAAGGCCTACTCGCGCAAGGACCATCTCAAGGAGCATCGAGCTATCAGTCACGACAGCAGCGAAAAATCGGCAGCGTTGCAGCAGCAGCAGAAACCAAAGCACACCTGCGCCAGCTGCGGCAAGGGCTTCCAGCGCAAGGACAGTTTCAGGTATCACGAGCGCCACAAGCCGTGCGCCCTCGTGGTCAATAAACTCGCCTGCGACAGGTGCGGCCGTGAGTTTCGCCGGAGATGCGATCTGACCAGGCACTGCGCCACCTGCGCGGAGAGGAATCGGCATGAATCGTCGTCGTCGTCGTCGTCGTCGTCGATCGTCGAGATGGACGAGGACGTTTGATGTGATTTGGTTGCGTGGGTGTGTGAAATCTATCGTTTTTCAAGTGAAAGATCGGCAATACCGATCCCATTTTAAAGGACAAAGTGTCGATATCCGTTGATTGTGTGTTGGGGACATTTTTTATACATTGTTATCGGTCTCCTATATTTTTTATTCGAATCGAGACGATAACTTATATTTTACACGTGGCTGCGATCGAATACAGTATTTTACGTAAGCCGAAACGAATCGCGAATAATCGCTCGTTTCTTCGGAATTCGCTTGACCGTAAATGTCGCCTCCGCGACAAGCCACTCGTTAATAATAACAACAATAACAAAACAACAGCGAAAAAAAACCTCGATAACTGTTTATACATATCGAGAACGTTACGTGATTAGTCGACTTTGGGAGGTTTAAATTCGCGATCCAAGCATCGAGTCGTTTGATTACGCCTGATGTTCGATGACGGTCAGGAATTTTGACGTTTCGAGCAGCACGCGAGTCGCGTGTTTTGCTTTTGTTATCGCTTGCATGGTGGTGCACCCGCCAACACGTGGACGGCGGCGGAGGCTCGCCGACTTTTAAACGATGCCGCAGTACCTGCATGCGAGCATGTACGCAATGTAACGTGAATGCTATAATACCATAACAACATGAAGTACCTCGGTGTCGCAACTGTCGAATTCGTATTTAATTTTTTATGTGTTCGTTCATCAATGAAAATACTCACTAATTGTAAAATTGTTCAATCCTAGTTACGTATCATTATTTGAATCGATGTGTGTGCCTGTGTGAGAGTTAGAGCGAACTTTGTTATCCGTAGTTTGCGCAATAGAGCATTTTCATAACCTCGATGAAAATTGAATCAGAGCCAGTATTAATTGGTACAGTCAGTAACAACGAAATAATGAATGAATTTCATTATGTTTGTAAGTTAGTTGAACGTCGAGTAATTGTCTACTTGTTAAGCTAAATTTGTACGAAAAAAAATGGGGGTAGAGGACGGCAGCATGGATATCAACCTGGCGATTCAAGCCCTGGCTAAGTTTGCAAGATATACAAATGCATGTGCTAACAAAGTACCGTATGTAATAGTTGACAGGAAACCCTTTCAATTTATCAAAAAAGAACCTCCTGAAATTGAAAGAGATCTGCCTGCAGTTGAGATTGAGTCTGGAAATGAACGTAAATTAGAAAATCAAAAAGTTGAACAAAACATTCCAGAAGATAAATTCAATGAACAAAATGCAGAGTATCAATGTGATCTATTGCCAAAAGATAATGTGTAAGTAGGCAATAACTTTTTATTTTTTCTACAATTTACGTTCTATATAAACTATAAAATACTTTTTGACTTACAGATTACAAGAGAAAGTAAGGAATATTTTTAAAGCTTTTACAGTAAATTCTCAGATGGCAAATCGATGCAGATTTTGTGATAAAGTTTTCGTATATGTAGGTAATAAGATAAAGCATGAAAATGAGAAGCACCCTCACAATTACAATAAAAATGAAAAGCCTCAGTTATCCGAATCGTCTACAACAAAGTCAGAAAAAATAAATGACAAGAGCCTTAACTTGATATTAAATAGTAAGCCTAAGCTAGAAAATAAATGCAGATTTTGTGATAGAATATTCAAATATGTAGGTAGTAAGATCAAGCATGAAAATGAAAAGCATGTTCGCAATAATTACAAAAATGAAAATCATCAGCTATCAGAATCATCTACAATAAAATCGGAAAAAGGAAATGAAAAAAGCCTCAAATTTATTGTAAATGGTGACTTGATAATAAACGGTAACTTGATATTAAATGGAGAGCCTCAACTAGAAAATAAATGCAGATTTTGTGATAAAGTATTCAAACATGCAAGTCGTAAGACCAAGCATGAAAATGAAAAGCACCTTCAGCACAATGACAGCAAAAATCAAAAGCCTCAGCTGTCAGAATCATCAACAAAAAAATCAGAAAAAATTGATACAAAAAGTCTTAACTCAATATTAAACGATAAGCCCCAGCTATCAGATTCATCTACAAAAAAATCAGAAAAAATAAATAAAAAAAGCCTTAAATCGATATTAAATGGTGAGCCTCAGCCAAAATTGATCAAACACAAAAAAAATCAGTCCCTACAAAATTGCAGAAAAAAAAACGTTGTATTCAGTTGTGATCTTTGTCATAAAACATTTGACACTCATAGACTAGTGAGTAAGCACATCTGGAATGTGCACAGAGCAAGACGTCATGTTTGCACAATTTGTAAAATGAAATTCAAGCACCAGTATCAATTAGAGATCCATTTGAATACCCATACAAGATTAAGAAGTTTTCAGTGTGATAACTGTAAACAGCAATTTGCTACAAAAAGTGCTGTAAAATATCATGTGCTGATGAAAGTCTGTACTAAAAAAGAAGTAACGAACAAACTTAAAAGCAAAGTAACTTGCCATTTATGCAAAAAAATTATTTCTACAAAAGCAAACTTAAAAAAACATTTAATAGTGTGTGATCCAAAATATGAGAAAAACACAGAAAAATGCGCTATATGTGATAAAAGCTTTAAAACTAAATCATACCTCCGAAAACATTTAGTACATTCTCACTCGTCACAGAGAGAATGCATTTGTCATCATTGTAATAGAAAATTTACTCGTAAAGATAATTTGAAATTTCATTTATATTCACGTTGTTTGCACAAATGGAATGAAGTATAGTTGTTATGATGGTAAAATTTCTTAAATTATTTTATTCCAGTTAAATATTTTTAAGTAGGCCTGTGTATCTCAATTATAGTTGTGAAAATGTTAAGTGATATATTATGGACCTAGAAAAGTAAAAAAGAAAATGTCTCTGATGATGATGATCTGAGGCCTTGTTATCTTCATAGCGTGTAAACTATTTTTTTAATGCTTGAATGGTTGAAATATCTCTGATATAAAAGTATTATGTAATAAATTTTCATAAATCAAAGATTCAAGTGAACAATTTTTATTTCTCCAAATCATTGTCCCATAATCATTTTTAAGAGTTCAATTTGATTAATTACTTTTCATTCACAATTGATAATTACTCACTCATGTTCAGTGTAAAAACTGAAAGAAAACTGCTAGCCATTTTAAAAAAATTCATTTTATAAGTACATGATATGAAAATGGAAAATTATTTTCTCTCAATGTGCGCTTTTTAGAACTTAGAAAGTCTCTTCATCGTGAGTAAGATAAAGTCATACTTTTTTGATTGTACAAGGAAAATTGAGTCTTCTTTCTTTTAAATCTAAGTCAAATATAAAACGATAATTTACAACAAAGGTGATGATAAATCTACTGTTGTCGCAATATGATAAAAATTCAGTAATTTTTCCTTTTAAAATCGTATAAAATAGCTTGGTCGCTACCATCGTTCAAGACTTTTGGTGTCTCTTATTGATCACTTGCACGTCATAATGAAGTTACTGACTTTCTTTGCCTTACTCATCGTGGTTCTGATAGGCCTTTTCTCCAGACCTGTATACGGTAACGAATTTTAATCTAACGTATCAATTAAAGGACGAAGAAGAAAATTCAATTGCCACATTACGCATTTTACAAACATTTTTAAATTAATTTTTCAGGAGCTTGCACGAAAGCGGCTTGCGTAGCTCATTGCAAACGCATCGGTGGCGTAAACGGCGTGTGCACTCGCAACGGATGCGTTTGTGCTATACCATAAACTTTCGTTTATAAATCATCAGTGCGATGAGAAAAAGCATGAAAATTTCGATTCATGTACTTTTTCGAATAATTTCTACTAAACTATATATTTGAATAAAATTCGATGAAAGATAATTAACGGTGACTTAATAAAAAGACATGCAAGTATGTATTTTTGGGTCCATTCTCTTTTTCTCATTTATTTCAGACCTGAAATATATTCCCTTTTAGCGGTACTCAATATTCGTTTTAAATAGAAAAAACCGAACGAAAACAAAACAACTGACAAATATGCAAACCAAAATCGAGTCTTTATCTCATTCATTTATCTCTTGTACTTTGTGTTAATTCGAGAGTGACACAAGAGCGAAACTTATACAAATCTTTTGTACAAAGCAACAAATAATTGTAATTTAAATATTAATTTTAAATTATAATGTGGTACCTGCTTTTCTCATTCTTGTCTCCGAATTTGTTACTTAGGCTGATGGATGACTTCAAAAGGCGCGAAATCACGCGAGAAGATAAACGACTCTTCACTCTGGGCATCCTGACAAGGACGACTATAACTTTAGATCTCGAAAGACGTCTTCGAGTTGATGTTATTAAATACATCGTAATGCTGAATTGAAAACAACGATTTTACAATTCCTTATAAACAGAAATATTTCATGAAAACCTCTCAAATATTAACTCAAACTAATAAGAGGAAAAAAGTCTTTGAAAAATACTCCCGAAACGACTCCGTTTTATCGTGCTTGGCGCTCGATTTTACTCGCGCGAAGGCTCGTCCGTGAGCAGGCGCCCTCTGCCGTTTACTCTTCGAATTCGACCCGAGCAGAACGCATTAACCGACTACACGATCTGCCGGCCGGGCAGCAGCTCGGCAGCGTTCACACATACCAACAACAACGTCGTTATCACGGTTCAAAGTCGCAACAAACTTTTTTCATACTCGATCCGCGAGGATTGGATTTTCTTCTTCTCTCGAGTAATCCGTTAGCTTTCGAACAATTGATTGCTGCATCGGAGCGTCATCATGGTAGCGAATAAAGATGCTGGCAAGTAAGTCAAATGCAACGAAAGACAACCTAAAAATTCGCCCTGTTTACATAGCCGCAACGATCGCTTGTATGTACAGATTTATTCGAGAATCGATGAAAGAAAAGATTCGCCGTTCGAGTTACTCTCTTCTTGAAGTGTCAATTTTTCCGTTGTCATAACACTGTGTGCACGCGATCCCAAAATACACGTGTGCGTTCGTATACTGTGTCAATGCAAAATTTAAATTTCATCCACAGATCGATCGAAGTCGTCGACCTTACGGACGACTCCGCCATCGATTGGACCGCGAGTCAACTCTACCAGCCACCACCGCCGAAGCCCAAGTACGTATTCGCGAGTTCGCTCGTGAAGCTCGCTGATTTACAATCGACCACCTCTGATGAAAATACATCTGTCGCTGTGACGTCGACGGTCATCGAGGATCGCAGCGCGGCCGGCGAATTATGCACGACCACCGCCACCACCACCATCGTGACCGCAGCGGTAACTGCTGAAACGAACTTGGACCGGCCGCCGCCCCCTCAAGCGAATAATTGGCGCATCAAAATCACGAAACTGCCCCAAGACAACAACAAGACGCTGTACACGTGCACCGTGTGTCCGGACGACGATCAGCGGCCGACCTTCGATTGCATCAAGGAGTGCAAAGTACATCTGCGCGAGATCCACGCCGACTCGGGCTACACGTGCTTCTGTGTGCTCTGCGGGATTCTGCTCGACACCGACGAGCTGCTTCTGGCTCACATGGAACAGTCGCATTAACGATAAATGTATTATATTAATAATAATGAAATTAAGAAAAATTCAAAAAACCGACCATGGCGATGCGCGCCCCCGATTCGGAGCGTAATAATAATGATGTATCATATTAATAATAATAAAATTGAGAAAAATTCAAAAAACCGACCATGGCGATGCGCGCCCCCGATTCGGAGCGTAATAATAATGATGTATTATATTAATAATAATGAAATTGAGAAAAATTCAAAAAACCGACCATGGCGATGCGCGCCCCCGATTTAGTGCATAATAATAATAATATAGTACGCGGAGTTCGAGGACGAATGTAAATTAATATGCCATGACTTATTTGTAAGATTGATAATAATTTCTACGATTAATTTATTTTAATTTAATGTACATACATACAACAAATAATTATTTGATTCTACTGAAACACTCGTTAATTATATCCGAACGATGCGTATTGCATCGGAATTGTACAATTTTAAGTTACCGATAAAAAAAGAGATTAAAAATATTAAATTTTCATGAACTGCGAAATAATAAAAATTACGAAAAAATCTACTGTATCGATGTCTTGAAATACTTGTCATTCCGATCTCGATACCAAACAATAGAACGCAAGGAAAGTTAGATGTCACTAACTCACTCATCGTTGTAGGGTACGCACACACATACGTACTTACACGACGCAAAGTAGCGTTGGCGCGTAAAACATTTCCCCAACGACGTTAACGGCATGGCAGTTTGGGGGCGCTGCCTAACGTCCACAAGCCTATAATCGAAAATAAGACGTTAACGGCATTCTATTTTCTTTACAATGGGTTTCTGCGATGCGCTGATGCAAGACCAACACACACCTACGCAGTCATCGTCAGCGATCGATCGTCGAGTAGATCAACGTCTAACGGACAGAATCACAGTTACCTGCGGAAAATTAACCTAAATTAGATTCGTTTTTCATTTGTTTTTTCATTTGTTTTTTCTAAAAAACAAAAGTGACGCATTGAGCACTTGTAAATTGGCAGGTTTTATTGACAATTGTTAATATGTATAAAATGGATTGTTGGACTAATATCGCTAACTGGACATCTACCGCAACGGGAATAGAAACGTTCCAAACTTCAATTATAATAAATCAAGAATTTTTTTTCGATAAAGATAACGCAGATGCTATTATAAACTTAAGAGAATACTTGATTTTCAACGTTATTGAAGAAGAACATTTAGAAGATACGTTGGTTTTAGCAAATATGCTGCAGGGGTGGATGAAGAGATTCGTCGGCCGAATTATCACGGATTCAGAATTAGAAACGTTCAAACGTACGATTCTCACTTTTAAAATTGATCACTTGAAGTCGGTTAATCTGTATCGAATAAATCGTGGCGTATTGCTCGTCGTTTGCATAGAATATCTCCTGTATCCCGGTAAAGACGACGAAGAATATGAAAAAATATATCGCGGAGACGAACACAAAGCGACCGAGGCATATAACAAACTGTGCAATTATCCAGAACAAACACCACAAGACAATAACACGGTTGAATCGGCCAGATCTTTTTTCGAATGCGAATGGTTTTTCGTCGAAGAAAAATGTTTGGAAACGATAAGAAGATACTTGAGAAGCATCGAAATCGATTCTGAGGAGTTTCTATTCATCAAAAATACATCGATCCGTGTGATGTAAGTAAATATTTAAAAGTAGTTAGTAAAATTTTCTATTCTAAAATTATTTCAAATTTTCAGCAACGCTAACGCATCTCGTATGGATACCATCGACGTTATGAATCAACCAATTTCGCCTGAGAACGACTCCAAGTTCCCTCCACCCAAGACGGTTTTGTCATCATTAGTCAATTTTGTTCCTCCTCAAGTTGTGTCAAAAAAAGTAAACCATGTATTTTCTGAACGTTACTCTCCCGACCAGATAGCATTGGCGCGAATGTTCGATACGAACTTCTGGTCAGCATAAATTATAGAACTTCACGATGATTTTAAAGTTTTCTCCGCGTAACTTCATCGGAAAATGATTAATTAATTTATGTTATAAAAAATAATTCATTTTTTAATTTTATTATGTAGTTACCGGAATGGTTGTACAATTTTTAACCTTTTAAACCTTATAATTGATATTGTATTTTATACCGTACCTCATTAAATATTTTTTCACATTTCGTAGAGTTTTTGTAATCTTTGAACGTTCGATCGTGAACAACTGAGAACCGCGAAAGAACTAGGGAGCCAAAGAGGAGGTCACGTGCGAAAGAAAAACTAGATCTAGTGAGAAATTCGAATGCCTGGCAGGGCGTCACGCATACAGCACACATACACAGAGGCCAGGGATCGAACGATCAACAAACAGAAAAATCTGCGCGCCTTAAAATTCTATTATCCCGCGAATGTCAACACGGCACAAAGGCGCTTAGCGGCGCGAGAGAGCAATGCCAGTGCCGCTCCGAACTGTGTGCCTCGTGTCCGTGTGTGTTTGTGTGTTTGTGTGTGTCTGCGCCGCTGTTGTCCTTTTCGTATAATTAATTACGCGCGCGTGTGTTGTGTGTCAGGCGCTCGAGGCACCGTCATCATGTGTGTGTGAGATCAGTGCGTACAGCGAGTGAGATCGTTTCGCGGGACGATCGTGTGTTGTGTCCATCGTGCAGCAGCAGCTACCCACTCCCCCTCTCTGCCAAGTGTCATATCGCATCATAAGTGTCCTGTGTGCGTTTTGTTCTTTGTACAAAGTGTATTTTTGTGTGTGAAAATAACAGTTTTTACCGGAGATTCAACGTACGAGAGAAGCTGCACCACTGCTCGCGTATACTACACCCATTAAAACCGAATCTCTCTCTCGCGAAGCCTGCGAATTCCGGAAGGCTCCGAATCTCTCTGCCTACTACTAATACTACTATACGCGTCTGTATAACGCGTAACATATATAAAGCGCGCCGCCGTGTGTATTGTATATGTATCGACATAACATACATACATCAAGATAAAAGCCATGAATCATTTCAACTCGACCGGGAGCAGCTTTGACCATGGGGACAACAGGATGGAGGAGGAGGATCTGTCGCCCACCCTGCTCTCCGACAGCAACATGAGCAGTATATTCTTCACGAGCGGCTGCCAGCCGTACGGACAGTCGGCGAGCGATTTGAGGTCACGCCTCGACGAGAGCGCGATCAGCGACGACACCATCTTGCTCGACGATGACTCGAGCGACACCATGATCCTGGACAGGGACGAGGACGAGGAACTGCTCCGCAAGCGGCGCAACTTCGAGCGCTTCAGTCGGATGCAGGGCAGCGTGCAGCTGTCGCAGAATCGGGGCTGCGCCGCCTCGGAGTCGGCCGCGGCGGCCCAGGCGGCGGGCGCCGCGACCCTCAGCCTCTTCGGCCAGGCGAGTCGCAGCGTCGTCAGGAGCAGCGACAACAACAACAACAATAAGAATATCGACGGCAACAACGACAGCAACAACAACATCATCAAGAACAGCAGCAAGAGGAGGATCGATCAACTCGAGGAGGACGACTTAAATTCCGAGTGCATCGAGCGCTTGGACAGCCTGATGCTGAGCGAGATGATCGTTCGTCAGCCCGCCGACAGAAACGACATCGACTACGACTTCGACGACGACGATACCGTGGATCTGGCCCTGCCCAGAACCAGCACTCATTTGTGAGTATATAAACAAAACATAACGTGACACTTGAGAGCGTTTAAGGAAACTTGCCTAATCGTCGAAAATTTTTCTTTCCGCAGACCCCCGATCGAGGACATGACGGACCTGCGTACGGCGACCAACAAAGCCGACACCGCGGGACGCCTGTCGACCGTCAACACGCTCCTGCTGAACTCGGTCGAGTCGGAGTTGGCCTCGCCGGCACCCAGCAGCGACGACGTCTCGCACAATAGTCTGGAGGGAGCCGTCGGCCCTCTGCCCTCGCTGCGTTACAGCTACAAGTCGACCATGATGTTCCCGCCGCCGCTCACGAACAGCAAGCTGCCCTGCACCGAGTGCAGATCCACCTTCCCCTCGAATCTCGAGCTGATCGATCATCAGACGAGAAATCATCCGTATCTTCGTCAAAGGTTTGTGCATATACAATTATTACTGTATGAAATGTAGGATGGTGATTGTACCGATAACCAGTCAGCTAAAAAGTGATCTCTGAAATTTTGATAAACAATTAAATTCTTCATTTTGACATTGAAAACTTGCAAATTGCCCTCAAAGCTGTTTAAATTCACAAAAATAGTTTGAATTACTTTGCGCCAATATCCAGCCACTCAAACAAAAATTACAATTATTGGATAATATTCATCTCAAGTATAATATTTAGATCATTTTAAAACTTGTCCAAACGTTCGAAAACGTTTTTATATAAACGACTTGATGAAAAGTGGCCGAGTATTGGCAGCTTGTTTTCTTAGTTTGAAATTAGCCTGACTTTTTTAGCTGGAAGACTACCCTCAGTGAAAAAAATCTTATGGGTAGACCCAACAAAAGTGGACAGCTCAATGATTTCAAGGATTAATTTTTTTCTGCTCTCTTTCTTGCTGCATCTACCCCTAAGATTTTTTTCAGTGCGCGCCCTAAAATTGCGTGTGAACCATAATTTAACCATTTGTCCTTGTGCTGTCTCTTTGTACCGTTTCGTATGTAGATTCTATTGCGAAGTCTGTGGCATCGGCTACACGAGAAAGGATACGCTCGAGCGACACAAGGCCGATCGCCACGTGCCCATGCCGCACAAGTGCGACGTCTGCAGCAAAATGTTCAGGCGCCCCGAGAACCTGCGGATCCATCTGCGCAGCCAGCACTCCGACGGCGACGTGTACGTCTGTAACAAGTGCCCAAAGACTTTCGGCAAGTCCGAGGCGCTCCAGAAGCACGTCAATCAGAAGCACCAGATCCAGCCGGACCAGATCTGCGAGCACTGCGGCCGGATCTTCGCCAGGAAAGGCAATCTCGTGCAGCACGCGCGACGATGCGCAAGACAGAAGGCCGCGATCAAGGAGGTGACCGAGGTTGTGGCGGAGGTGGTCGCTTGGCCTCTCGCATACCCCGGCAAGATCCAGAAACGAAGAGAAGCGAGCGAGCCAGAGAAAGAGAGAGCATAAGATAATAAGAGAGAGAAAGAGGATGTAAAAAGAAAAAAGAAACATTTTTATGTACAAATGTAAATATTTAGATGGTAAATACACTTATTAATTTAGAATGACAAATCGAGTTTGGACTGATTTTTTTTTTCTTTTTTCTTTCTCTGATAGATTGGAATGTTCAATCATGTGCGAACCAATACGGTCTTTAAAACGATGTGACAATGTTTTGCGCGAAGTATACATAAAATATTACGTAGAGCTGGACCAATAAAAAAAAAGTGATTGACTTCGAATGACGGCCGATTATTGAAAACTTTTATCTCTACTTGAAGACCGGAAAAAAGGCAAGAAAACAAAAAAAAAAACAACGCTCGTTGAAAACGCTACATTTTTGAAATGGGCCTGCTATGTTGAACTTGTATTTATTATATGTATAACGACTGTCTGATCAAAATCAGCAGAGACCTATAGGTGTTTTTGGCGCGCGCGAATAGCGAGAGGTTTTCTACTGCAAGCTGGACCAAACCTGCGTGACTTCCCGCGTGACTCTAATAATTTTTACAGTTATTATTATTATTTTTTTTATTATTTTAAAAATTTTTATTTTTAATTATCCTATGGACGTGGATACTTTGTGTTCGATTATGCAATTGTTTCATGTAAAAAAAATATAGAGAATACAGAAGGAAAAAAAACATGGAAATCTGCTTGCGTATAACCGATGATAATGATGAACGAGCTTTTCGTTAAAAATGTGACGTGCTTACAATAACTGCGGTTTATATATCTGAATTATATTATGCCCCATTTTTCCCAAAGCTTTCTTGCGTTATGATTATTCTCTCACAAAGTGAAAAAAAAAAACAAAAAAAAAAAAAAAAAAAAAAAAAAAGAGGAAACGCAGCCGCGGCACACACAACTCTGTGACAGAGTTACGCTCCCGAAAAAATTGACTGAAACAGACAGAAATAAAAAAAATAATAATAAAAAAACAAGATGGAGAAACGAATTTCGCTTCGTATCATTCAATTATACGGTATTAATTAATTAATATATTGAGGATAGTCGATAAGTAGACAAAAACAAAATGAATTTATTAATGAAATAAATACTTAATAAACGTATCTACGGTTCGACTTTAATAAAATCAATTATCATGCAGAATACGCAATTCTTTATTTTTTTATTTATTTTTACATAACACGATCACATTTATTATAACAATTTTAGTAATAGGTTCAACGTCCGATAAGCGAGATATATGTACCTTTAAAATCGAATGGCTCTTGATTATACCCGTCAAAATTCGCCGCCAAGAATCAATATCATAGGTATTATTTCTCGGTATTTGCTCTCTGATCTGTCCTCTGATATTATACATCTAGTTTCCTGCCTCTGACAATTTGTAATATTCGTATAACCGAAATGTACCTATATCAAAACCACGTGTTAATATGATATAGATAACGCGAGCATCCCTTTGTCGTCTGGGTTTTCCTCGATCTTTTTTCGAATCTATCTCAATGCCCGGAATTGTCACAAAAAAAGAAGCGTCGATATTTTTTCCCCCTCCACTGTCTCTATTAAATATTGACTCATTGATCGAGACTTAAATATCTTTAAATTCGAGAGATAGATCAGCGACAAAAGATCGTAGAAAAAAAAAGAATCTCGATGCATCGCGATCTATCATTAATACCAAACTCGTCTACGATTTCGTAACTCTTTTTTCCCTTCGATCGATTCTCGCGCGCGAGCGCAAAGTTATTTCGAGGCCACTTTTCATGGACAAAAGTTATAACGTGCAGGCACTTGACGAGACGAGCTCTCCTTCTGATACACATAATATTATAAGATACAGTATATAGAGCTATACGAGCAAGAAAGAGATGAGTCGCAAAAAAGTAAATATCCTCTCATCGCTTCCGCTGCCCTTCGTCTTCGATGTAATACGTATCAGGCCCCATCGTGAGCGTGTGTATATACACTCGTATGTGTACTTACACATGCACACATTATAAATCTAGAGAGGCAATTTGGACAAGAGACATTCCCACGCCGCGTGCTCGGCTCGGTTCGTTCTTTTTTTTTTTTTCAAGGACTTGACGCGATAAGGGAGACTCGACGACGCGCGAGAGACGCTCGCAACGCTGTGGAATATGTCACGCGTCGAGTCTTTGTCATGTAATACATAATGTAAAGAAGAAATAACAGGCATACGTGTAAAATGAATCAATCTATGTCTTTAATTTTGCATCGATTATGGCAAGATTGATATACATATAACTGCTATATCCGATGCACACCGCTAATATACACAACATAATTTTCATCGTCGGATCAACACAAATATTAAATAAGTACAAAAGCTCTGCGCCTTGTGAATTTTCTCACGCGTGCAATCGATTCACATTACATCTTTTATGACAAGTGCAGCTTGCATTCGAAATCACATTTCTGTCATCTCTCGGCGTATAAATCGCTCCATATTTATTACGACATAATCCTACAATAATCAACGTTAAAAAGTCATGTGAATGTAATTATGTATCTAACAAAAACAAATAAGAAGAAGAAAAAATCGAATATAACGAGTTATAATGAAAAAAAAATTGGATTACAGAACGAGAGAGAAAAGAGTATGCAAGCTTAATAACACACACACACACGCAAGTGCGCATCGCACGTCCGCTCTATGTGGCGGCGGCGGCAGTCGTCGTCGTCATCCTATACATACACAATCACGGCACACGGTTTATTTGTTTAAAAGCTCGATCGGCGCAACGTCAATCGTATACGCAGCACAGCACTAACACACATTACAGCAGCGGGGAAACACCATTTCGATTCGTTTACAATCGGAGGCCGAGCTTGGTATTTATCGGATATTCATTCCCCGTGTCCGTTTCGATTTCTTTCTTCTTCTATATCGCTGACGCTGCTGCTGACTTACGCATTTACAAATCTATATCGCGCGCACGATACAACTTACACTCGCAAAGATACATGTATACATCCTATATAAGTAGAGCCTAGCATACATTGGTTTGTTTGGCCTGGAAATCTATATATCGCGGATATACGTGCTCGCATACGACGCGTATAAAACGACGACGATGCGTGTCTTTCTCTCTCTCTCTCCGTCTACTGATCGGCTTGTCATGGAATGATGTCATGGAGAGATGTGTGTTTTTTTTCTTTCGCCTTCCTTTTCCTTCGATAGCTGCGAGTAGAGCTTTTTTTCATTCAAATCAATGTCGATTGATCGTTTCGCGAGCTTTTTAAAAAAATGATCGTCATCGATCGGAATAATCATACCGATATAGCGATGCATAAGCTAATTCTAAATTTTATCTATTTACAGAGGCTTAATGCTATTTAAATAAGTCATATTTGGTTATAACACGGCTGGTTCCTGATCGCATCATTACAATCGACGATCATACATTTTTGGCCACTTTGAATTCACAACGACAGTCAACCATTGAGTGGGGAACTACCCTCACGTATCATTACACATTATATACCAAGGCACTCGTCGTCTACGAAATTACAACAACAAAAAATAAGGTTCAAAAACATATATGATAATCATGCGTGATAATTCTGCCAATTGTCGGGTATGCTCGGGACGAACTGGCGATGATGATACTGAGCCGCCGCCGCGGCCGTGTAAGCTTGCGCGTGGCTCGTGGCCGCGGACGCGATGTGGCCGATCGGCAGGTGATGATGATGATGATGAGGATTCGACGCGTGGATGTACTGCACCGAGGGCAGAGGCGGCAGCACCACCGGCGGCTGCAGCTCGTGATACCTCATGAGCTCCTCGTGATTGCTGTGCTGCTGTTGTTGCTGTTGCTGTTGACTTGTAGTCGCTGCCGTTGTTGATGTTGCCGTGCCGCGCATCTGCTGCAGATCGTCCCAACTGTTCGAGTCCTGATTCGACAGCAGATCCTGCTGCTGCTGCTGCTGCTGTTGCTGCTGGTGGTCGAGGTAGTGGCGCTTGTTCTCTTCTTCGAATCTGTTTATCAAAGAAGAGCACGTTAGGTACGATTGAAAATAAATTAAAAAAGTAAAATAACGTCTGTCGAAGATTTGCTCTCACCTGTTGATTTGCCACTGATGATGAGGCGAGTCGTTGTATTGCTGTATACCGGCATCGATGACACTCGACTGTGGCTGCAACTGCTGTGGCTGCTGCTGGTGAGGAAGATATTGATCCAATTCGCTGCTCTCGACCTCGCACTCGACGGGCAAATTGAGGGGCATGAGGTTGCCGTAACTGTTCATCTGGTCTTCGTCGCTGAGCGACAATGGATCCGAAAGCTCCATGTAATTGCGTATGTCGACTCCCGTTTGATGTTGCTGCTGAGTGGCTATCTGCATGCTATGTTGTTGTTGTTGCTGTTGTTGTTGTTGCTGATGAAGATGATGTTGATAAGTCGTCATGTCGCTTTGTTGCTCCATCAGGTTCGTCATGATCGGATGGTGACTTTGGTACATCGATTGATGGGTCTAAAATGAGAAAATGAATCAATTATTTTATACCGCTAAGAATTAATTTTTTTACACAATATATTTAACACGCACCTGATTGACGCAAAGCTGCTGCTGCTGCTGCTGACCACCCCTCGGAGTGGTGGGTGGCGTCGGTGGCGACATGGCCGACTGCTGGGACATGGGCGAGGACATGGACGAGTGATCGTAGGTCGTCGGCGAGCCAGCCGCGCTCAAGCTCAGAGACTCGCCGACCTCTGCTTCCTGCTTCAGAGCAGCAGCGGCATTACCGGATGCAGTGGTAGCGTGAGCGGCACCGGTTGACATCTTCAACGTCGTTGCGGCCACTGCCGCGGCTACGGTAGCGGCTGCCGATCGATTCAACGTGTAATTGATCGATGATGCTGAAGATTTGCTGTTGTTCTGCTGAGACGTGGAAGACGACGACGATTGGTTCGTGGAATTGTTGTTGTTGTTGTTGCTGCTGCTGCTGTTGTTGTTTCGGGTGCCGTTCTTGCGTCTCGGCTGGTACTTGTAATCCGGATGGGTGCACTTGTGAATGACGCGCAGCTCATCGGCCTTCTTGATGAACGGCTTCTTCTCCGATTCCGAGAGTAATCTGCAATGCGTGGGAAGAGTCGCGTTAATTATTATTCTTTTCGATGCGTCTCTCGCATACGCGTGATTGACTCTTATCGCGAAATATACATATAAACGAACACATAAAGGCAATTAATTTTTATGCGCGCAATTAGGAAAATTTCTGCGTTTCAGTTATTTCGATTTATTTTTAGCGATCTTTGAGAGAACTCGCTATATAACAGAATGGCAATAATGATCGATGATGTATCGAAAGGAAAAAAACAAACTTTTTTTCAAGTTTCAAAAAGAAAGAAAAAAAAACTGCAGCGGTATATATATATTTTATAACATATTACATTATACACATATGGAAGAGGTATATACCGCCAACTGTGAGAGTCGGGGCGCCAGATCGGCCCAGGCACGCGACCTAAACACGGATTCGCCGACAAAGCTTCTATATCTCTCTTTCCCGCGCGCGCGCATGACGATACAGAGCTACGGCGATGACTCGCGATACGTAACATGTATACACACATCTCGAATCGTTGTATATTATGTATTACTATCTCTTTGCACTACGTTGGTGTGCTGGTGATACGTGACCCGTGCCGAAGAGTACGCGAACGATGTTACATGCGTGTTCGAGTCGATCTATATCCGTGCGAGGGTGCCCATGGGATCTCGATAGCAAAAAAAGAGGAAAATATAGATAATCTCGATCGCAAAAAAGAGAGACAAGTTCAAGACGCGCAAAGGCCTATATTTTTGCGTAGCTTTCCATTATGTAGCACTAAAAGCTCGTGTGCGAATGTTATAACGCAGCGACGCGTCGATAGTAATTGTCGTATTTTTGTTTTTGGGCGACACACTGTATCAGACCCAGGCGTGCGCGTGTATATTGTCTTTGACATGTTGATTTTTAATAGCCAAAGAGGCTCGCTCAGATAGACGCAGGAGCGTCGATGAAATGAAAAATGCTATGGGAATTATTTCGCGAGCTTGTGGCAGCACCTCGACGTGCCTATATGGGGTATAAACGTTGCGTATATAATATCGTAGAAGATATAGACTCGCAAAAAAACATTCAGCGAATGTATCGTGACTCGACACTTCGGAGCTCTACTATATGTATTATTATACATTGAACAGACCTCTCTCTACTTGGGCCGAAGAGCGCGTGCGAATCGTGCGCAAAAGTGGCAGCAGCAGCAGCAGTTGCATACACAAATGAACGAGGGACCGTGGCTTCTTTGCTTCGAGCGTAAGGACTTTAAATTTTGCGATCGCGTAAAACTAATTTTTATTTCATTTATTCGTTGAAACTCGATAAAAATATGCTTTACGGTGAAAATTCGCAAGCGCCGACGAGCGAAACACATCGCTATTCGAGTTTGGAACAATCCACTCGAGGGGGGAGATTGGTCACATGCTCTATATTCTCTAACGCGGTACGTACACATGTAACGCATGAGTATACGATATCCCATATTTACGAGAGCCGCCTTTAAAAAAGCTCGAAGCGCGCAGATTACCGGTAATTGATAAAGGCACATGTGCTCGTTGCTCGTAAGTCGTGTAAGCTTCCGACGAGTTTCAAGCCCCGCGCAATGAATATGAGAGAGAGAGAGAGAGAGAGAGAGAGAGAGAGAAGAAAAAAAGACGCAGACGCGCATCAGCCAAAGGATGTGCAGCAGCGCGCGATATCTCTCGCTTCTCAAGATCGGAATCTCGAGCGAGCGCGCGTATTTCTCGCAACTCCAGCTCGCAACACCGAGAAGAAGAAGAAGAAGAAACGGAGTAGTGGGTGGCTGCAAGCCAAGCGCGATATATTGCAGAATTCAATTGTACGAACTTTTGAAGGAAGGGAGAGAAAAAATGATAATTCGCACGCACTCGGATCGCGCGATGATCGGTTTCGACGTAACCGCACGCTGGCGCGCTCGTAGGCGAGCGTAATTCTCGATAACTCACTGGCGCGTGCGATCCTCGTAACCACGCATGTTTTGCATTAATTCCCATTTTTTTCTGTCTCTCTGGCTCTCTTCGAGCCTCTCAAAGTAAGATCGGATCACACGCGTGTACACGCATAATACTCTCTCGCATGGTGTGTGCTCTTCGTCTCATTTCGAGCGTATTATAAACGTTGCGGGAGAGAATCGGTCAAGATGCAAAAAATTATTAGCGCGCGAGAGCTGCTCTGCCACCGACACGGAGCTTGATCATTTCTGCGGAAGCTCCACGAGTCTCTGCGAACGCGGGTCTTAGTATATGGACGTACACTGTCCTGCAATCACTTTTGCCGTACCTAAGTAAAAAGTGAGTAAACTTCAAAGTGTCATATCTTAGTCAATAGAGATCGGATCGGGATTTAAAAAATGCCATTCGAAAGGTCTTTACAAGCACTTTACAACTGTATCAAGTATGATAAGGTTCAACGATTTATTCACCAAATGCATGGGCTTCTAATGTTTCTACAAGACCTTCTACTCAAAGGGCGAGTGAAATACCAACGACGAGAAAAACTGATTTTTTCGATTCTTTATTTATTGAAAAAACAATTCTTAAATAAATAATTGAACCTTATCATACTTTATATGGTTATAAATTACTTGAAAAGACCTTTCGAACGGTATTTTTAAAATGCTGATCCGACCTTTATCGACTGAGATATGAGACTTTGATATTTACTCACTTTTTACTTAGATATGGCAAAATTGTAAGAGGGCAGTGTATGTGTATTGATAATATACTTAACATGACTACCTAAAACCTAATATTGTTGAACTAATGAAGCTCTAAGACCTTAATTTGCAATTTTTACATTGAAAAATCGATTTATAATAAAAAAAAATTAGTAAATTAAAAGTTTTTACGTCACAAATTTAAATCACGAAGCAATAATCAGTTATTATCCTACGTCAATCACGAACAACAATAATTTGATGACAGTCATCTGTCATCTTTTTTTTCAGTTTTACCACGTCAGTATATAAGAACTAATTTTTTCATAAATTCCTCGTATAAAGGAAGTGAAGGCCATGAAACTATTACTTTTGATACTTTCGTCCGCAAGTTTCAACTTTTGTTGGGGCGGTTACAGCTATCAAACAGGTACGATTCATATTATAAAAAATATATTAAATTGCTAATATTTATTCCATTAACGTCGAAATGACAAAGTGTTGACTTTTTCACCACGATTATTTCCTACTTTTTGCGCTGGAAAAATTCTATTTGAACATATTCCGACAAAAATTAAGCCTCTAAAAAGTTAAGAAAAGCATCCTTTTTTTGTGGGAGAATTCAACCCGAAAATATTGTTTTTTTTACAATTTTACAGAAAAACTCATGAGAGAATCGTATATATTAAAATTATTAACTTTTTGAAGGTTTATTCTCTGAAGAAAATTGTAACGATTAAAAAAATATATGAAACGCGAGGATCGGACTTATACTTTACTCTCAATCGTTGGCAAGAGCTAAAACGAGGATTTCAGTAAATTTGATCTACAGACAACAAAATAGGTTTGAAGTCCCATAAAACATTTTTTGTAGTTTAATATGTAAAGAACAACGCCCAAGACGACTGGAATGAATGGAATTCATTGTTTGAAAAAAAAAACTTAAAAATACATTTTTTGACATTTGCAATGGAAACGTCCCCTTAACTATTAGCTTTAGCATAAAGATCATACAAGAAACATGTCAACGATTATCGAATTTTTAAACGATAATTAAAAAAAAACTTTGGGAATTCCATTTAAATCGCGTTAAAAAAGTGGGTCATTTAGTCGTTAATGGATTAACCCATTAACGCGCAAAAGTGCAATTTTGTGCATGAATTTTCCGTTGTAAAAAAATTATAGATAAAGTTAAAATATTTTCTTGAAAATCCATACCCTGGGGTTTTTGGGTATGCTCTTTCAGTATCCGGTGTTATTTTTGCGATAAATAAACATTATCATCGTTTATTTTGCCATTAAAAACAAAAACCGTGATTTTTTGACTCAAAATTTTTTTTCAAAGTCGATTTTCTACCTTGCCCTGCCTTCGGAGGGCTCCCATAACACCAGAAATCTTGCACTTTTTCTCTGAACCTTCGAAAAATGCGCTAACACGATTTTTATCTAGTCCCTATAATTCTAAAATGGCGAATTTATACCGATCAGCGATATAAAAATTGCCTTATTTTTTATTTGTAAATTATTGACTTTATAAAAGAAAGTCATACAATTAAGAGTGTTCAAATTTGTTCAAAGAATACATGTGAATTTTTTTTTAAATTTTTTAATAATTTTTTCTGAGTTTTTTAGATTTTTTTTGGAACATTTTGGATTTTTTCGACAGGCCGGGACATGGTCGTATTTTGCAAAATTTTCAAAGTGGTCTGAAAAATTCTGAAAAAATTCACACGTATTCTCTAAACGATTTCAAATAAGTTTTTACACTCAAAATTGTACTTTTGAGTTCATATTTAGCGCATGTAAAATAGGTTCTGGGTAAAAAATAAGTGAATTTTTATACCGCTGCTCGGTATAAATTCGCCATTTTAGAAATATAGGGGCAAGATAAAAATCGCGGCAGCGCATTATTTGAAGGTTCAGAGAAGAAGTGCACGATTTCTGGTGTTATGGGAACCCTCCGAAGGCAAGGCAAGGTAGAAAATCGACTTTGAAAAAAAATGTTGAGTCAAAAAATTAATGGCAAAATAAACGATGATAATGTTAATTTATCGCAAAAATAACACCGGATACTGAAAGAGCATACCCAAAAACCCCAGGGTATGGATTTTCAAGAAAATACTTTAACTTTATCTATAATTTTTTTACAACGGAAAATTCATGCACAAAATTGCACTTTTGCGCGTTAATGAGTTGATTGATTAATATTTTTTTGCACATTTTAAATTATTTCTCATATTTAGTTCAATACCAATATCCAGTTCTAAGGCAGTATGGAACCACAGGATCATCACGAGGCTCAAATAATTTCAATGTTTATAAAGGCTCCAACACAAAAGTTACATCAATTGAG